ATTATTGCCTTTTTCTTAATGAATTCTGAAGGATTTTAAGAAGCAAACAGTGAACAGGATTTCAGATAAGGAGTTGACTTCATAAATAGTTTTCTTTTGTGGAAAAAATATTTGTTATCACAAAGGCTCATTTTTTATCAGTTTGGACAAGTCATGCGATGCTTGTGCTGTAGATGATTTGTGTCTGCCTCAGTTCATGCAGCCCTCAGTAATTAACTGGACCAAACACTGGAGGAAGCAGAGGAAATTATTTTGCCCTGTCTGTGTGTGTCCGTCTCTTCTGCAGTTCTTTGTGTTGTGTGCATAGGCACCGTATCTTCATAGGCAGGCAGTTGTAATGAAACCGTGTTTTTATTTATGGCGACATTCCTGTTGTGCCATAAATAAGTTCAAAAGCTCTCCTCTGTGAAGAAGTGCAGCAGAGCAACAGGAGAGGAGAAGCTGTCCCATATGTCCATGTTCAGTTGCTGTGAGAACTTGTAGAAATTGAGAGTTGGATAAATTTAACTGGACAAGCAGATGACACATTCCCTCCAGTTACTGCTGCTTGGGCTCTGAAAACCCTAAACTCTGTCCCTGGAGGGACCAACCTGCTCAGTTGCTTTACTTCCATTTCCTACAGCAGACTTTATGTGCACTGTCACTTGCTCCTGATGTTCTTGACTGGTTTGAATATGATAATGAGCTTCCAGGCAAGCTTCACATTTTCCTGATTGTGTTTTTACTGCACTTCATATAGTTTCCATTTTTTGTTAGAGTATTTTTTGGAGTGTCTTTTCATGTAGAAAGAAGAAAGGATGCAGGCATGACTTCTGAACCTCCTGCTCGTTGACTTGTTAGTAACCAAAGCCAGTGGGCGGCTGTGAGTTGTAGTCTTTTGGCAATTACCTCTGCTACTTATGTCAATGTAAAGGATGCATCTTGCTTCTAGATGCTGAGAAATTAAACACTGTAATGTCAGAATCTGTTTTAAGGAAGGGATTTCAGCAAAACAAGCCGAGTTAATGTGTGCATTACGGGGTTTCTTCGGGTTCTCAATGGTGTTATGTACCTGGGAGCACCTTTCAGTTAGCCATGAGTGAAGTATGGTGGAAGCTTTAGCACCTGAGAGATAATTTAAAGGCTGATTTATGTTCTTGGCGTAACTGAAACACAACTAAAAAAGCCCTCCTGAAGTGATACATCTTGCGTCAGAGCTAGCAGGTTCAGAGTGCCTCTGCACTGTGTGATGGGTACTAGCCCTGCCTCCTCAACCTTCCTCCTCACCGCATCCAGTCTGATTTAGATTTTCTTTATATCTTGGCTTTGATGGGCTCAGTGCAGGCACTGTTGGAGAGGCTGTGGCCGTGAAAGTTGCCTGATGATTTATTGTCTCTGCAGGGAGGCTGGGGCTTTACATCCCACCCCTGCACAGTGCCTGTCCCATGGAAATGGAGCACAGGATGGTGCATGGGGAGTAGGCGGTTGTGCTCTTCTCTGTGCTCTTGGTTTGTAGATAAATTGAAGGCTTCAGTCAGCATAAGGGCAGTTTCCCAACTAACTCGTTATTACTAGTTATCTCTTCAGAGTTGACAGCTCGCTCTGGATGTTCAGAGCACAAAACAGAAGCCGGTCCCTGCCCTGAGGACTTTCATTGTGAAGTGAGAAATGTCCCCTAAGAACAAATGCACTTGGCCTGCACCAAGGCAGCACGTGGGGAGCTCAGACATGCACATACACATCCCTCAGCTGCCCTGTATCCCTGAGCCTGTGTGCTAAAGAGAAGGTTCATTCTTGTAGCCCAGTTTGGTTTAGCAGAGCTAGATGTGGAGCATGGCAGGGCAAGGCACCCTGTCCATCCCAGAAGATGAAGGGGACATCCCTGGATGCCCTTCCCAGGATGCTCCATCTCCCTGTGCCCATCTCTGTTGACTGCGGGGAGCTGCAAATGCGGCTCACAGGAAAGCCTTGTACGGGACGGCAGGTCTGGGCAGTCAGAGGCTTTGCATGTTACTCATTAATTACTCCTAAACCCAAGTAAATCTGCTGATGAGTGACAGCATTTCAAGCTTCTGTAATGTTGAATCAAAAAGAAGTGGCAAGTTATTGCCTGCTATGATGAGGCTGTTCATCCCTGTGCCAGGGGTCACTAGGACAGCTTGAGGGGTGCTCTCCCCTAAGAAGGAGCCTGTGCTCCCTTTGATGTGGGATTTTTGGTGAGTGGGGCTCTAAGCTATGTCCCCAGTACCTTCTGGTATCATTTATATTTAGAACTGTGATTTTTGTCACCTATTCTTCTGCTGTGGTGTAAATGGGGCACTCAGCTGCTGGAAAATTAGTCCAGAAAGAGCCTTTTGGAAACAGGAGATGTAGATTTTTCAGTGTTGCTGAATAGCTCTGCTCACTCTTGATTTCTAGATTAAATCAGCTTCCTTCACATCTGCCTGGGTGCCCTCATCCTGTCTGCAGTGAATGTTTAAGCAGGTTTTTGCCTCTTTAGCAGCACCCTCTGTAAAGAGCTGACCCCCCAGCAGTGCTCAGAGATGCAAAGCCTTTCCGACAGCTGCTTCCCCCAGGGTCTGTGCAGGGCGACAGACCCTGACAGACTGAATCAGCACATACACTTGCAACACTTGCAATAGCTGCTTGTTTCTATTGTCAGGGGAGCCCAGAAAGTACGTAAGGAAAATGCATCTGCCTCCCTTGTGGGCTGTGCAATAAGTGCTGGAGGTTGGTGAGCCCCACGTGGCCCCCCCCAGCTGCAGAGGTCAGACTAATGTGTGGCAAATGAATATTAGAATCACAGAATACCAGGTCAGAAGGGACCTCAAAGGTCATCTGGACCGACCTTTATGGTAAAAGCACTATCACAGATCGTGGCAATATAAATAATGTGAAATGACAACAAGTTATTGAGCTTCCTACTGACACTAGATTATACAGTTTGCCATAAAACTTAACAGAATTTCCTGCCTTTCTGTAGTTATTTGTGAACCCATGTCAACACTGGGGAGATACCTAATATCAGAGAATCACAGAATACCAGGTCGGAAGGGACTTCAAGGATTATCCGGTGCAACCTTTCTGGCAAAAACACGCTGTAGACAAGATGGCCCACAACCCTGTCCTGCTGAATCTTAAAAGTGTCCAATGTTGAGGGATCCACCACTTCCCTGGGGAGATTATTCCAGTGGCTGATTGTTCTCATGGTGAAAAATTTTCCCCTTGTGTCCAATCGGAATCTCCCCAGGAGTAACTTGTACCCATTTGCCCTTGACTTTTCCGCGTGACTCCCTGTAAAAAGGGAGTTTCTATCTTCTTTGTAGCCACCCTTTAAATACTGGAACACGGAGATAAGGTCTCCCCTAACGCTTCTCTTCCCAAGGCTGAACTAACCCAGTTCTCTCAGCCTTTCCTCATGGCAGGCTTCCCAGTCCTTTGACCATCCTTGTGCTCCTCCTTGTGCTCCTCCTCCAGGCCCTGTCCAGCCTGTCCCCACCTTTGTTGTGTAGCGGGGACCAAAACTGAACACGATACTGCAGGTGTGGCCTGGCAAGCGCTGAGCAGAGTGGGATAATGACTTCTTCCTCGCTGCTGGCGATGCCCTTGTTGATGCAGCCCCGCACCCCGTTGGCTTCCTTTGCCGCAGCAGCACACTGGTCACTCACACGGAGCTTGGCGTCCCCCAGGACTCACAGGCCCCGTTCCGCTGAGCTGCTCCCCAGCCGGGTCGATCCCAGCCCGTGCTGCATTCCTGAATTATGTTTTCCCAGGTGCAAGACCTTACCCTGGTTGTTGGTGAGCTTCATAAGGTTCTGATTAGCCCACTCTCCCAGCCCACCCAGGTGTCCCTGCAGGGTGGCTGTCCGTTCCGCAGTGTCGACTTCCCCACTCAGGACATCCAAGCAAGCTGGTGGAGGGAAAATTATTGTCCTCTCTTAGTTAGAAGAACTTTCATTAAGGAAGAAAACGCGTGCTGATCCTCCACCAGTCTAAATCCAGAACTCCACCCTGGAAGCCAGTGGGTTTACTTTGATTGTATGCAAAAGCAGAATTTGACCTGCAATCCTTAGGAGGAAATTAAGAAAGCCTTCCCTTATTGAATTGGCTAGGTAGGTGACCCATTTGCATGGGGTGGTCAGAAACCAAGTGCTGTACTGAAAAATCAAAGCATTAAGACGGTGCCAATGCAGGTATCCTCATCATATAGATGAGACAAAAGAGCAGGTCTCGCCAGGGGATGAAGGTGCTGTCACCACATCTGCATCTACATGTGACTCTCACAGTCCCTTGGGGTCTTTTCATGGTACACAGAATGGTTTGTCGTTTCTTACTTGTACTTTTCCAGACTCCAGTGATGCTTGGGCTGGATGGTCCATCCTCACCTCAGAAGGATGCTGTGGGTCTAGAGCAACGGCTCTCCTGTGCCATTAGCCAACGGGGAAGTGCAGCCTGAAAAGTGACCCCTCAGGCCGGCTGTAAGGGGAAGGGACTGGTGGCAGAGTGCACAGGCTCGGATCCTCAGGGCCAGATTTCATTTCCCCTCATTCCTCCTGCCAGTCTAACTTCTCTTGCTCACTGCTAATTTGCTCATCCAGGCATTTCCAGATGGGGAAAAAGGTGTGTGGTTAATTGTGGGGAAGCCTTGTAGGCTGTTAAAAAGCTCTGGCTGTGCTATTTGATTTTTGGGTGCAGAGACTTTAACACTTCAGACTATACCTGAGGCTTCCAAGGGGGATGGCTACGTTTTAGAAATCAAGATAACTCCTTTCCAGAGGGCCCGTTTCAGAATGCCTAACGTGTATGGGGGGCAAACTAACACTGAAGATCCTGCTGGCTTTCCCTGCTCATGTTCTCCGCCAGCCATTCTCTCTCCATTCCTATAATTTCTTTGGCTCAACCCTCTAATCTCCCGTCTCAGCTGAAAATTTCCTCTATTTTCTATTTTTTTTTTTTTGGTTGATTTTTAAGGAATTGGTGCAAAGTTGGATACTAACTTTCCACCTTCCTCCCCTCCTTAGCAAGCAGCAGAACTCCTCCAAATCCAAGTCTGTTTGGGAGCAGAGGACCAGCCAGATCCGGATGCACAATTTCCGAGCCAGCTGCGAGGCTCTGTACAATGAGCTGGATCCGGAGGAGCGGGTGCGTTACGCTACCACCCTTCACATCAGGCCGGACATGAAGACTCATTTGGATCGGCCGCTGGTGGTAGAGCCGAGGGGCGAAGGGAGGAACAGCATCAGCAAGCTGAGCCCTGTGGACGTGCAGGAGGTGGAGCCGACCAAAGTCAGCTCTACTGATGGGGCAGAAGCTCCACGAAAGCACCACCGGCATCGGGAAAAGGACAAACTGGGAGAGCAAGAGAAGGGTGATGTGACTAAGGATGAGAACGGGGAATCTGGTGCCAACAATAAGGAGGAACGGCACAGGCAGCACAGGAGCCGCAGCAAAGAGGTGGAAGGGGGGAGTAAGGAAGGAAAAAGCGATCGCAACAGGTGTCAGGAGGGGGGAAAGAGGCACCATCGCCGAGGGTCAGTGGAAGAAGGTACCGAGAAGGAGCACCGTAGGCATCGGACTCACCGGCACTCTGCCGAGCGGCAAGGCAAGGAAGGCAATGGGACAATCAATGGGGCCAGGAGCGAGCGGCGTTCCCGACACCGGGGAGGGTCAAGGTCTGGGAACCGGGAAGGAGAGCCCGGGTCCAAGGGCGAGAGTGGAGAGGAGCCTCACAGACGGCACCGGTTCAGGAACAGGGCGCTGTCGACGTACGATTCGGTGGAGAAGGAGAATGGGGAGAAGGAGGGGGAGGCTGGCGAGAAGGAGCACCGGAATCATCAGCCCAAGTGAGTGCGTGCTGGGTGGCTGGGCTTGTCCCTGGGACAGCTTGGGGCGCACGAGACCCCAGACACATATCAGGAAATTACTTATTCCTTTCCCCATGGCATTCCCTAGTGTTCTTCTTGCATTCCCACCAGCTCCCACCATAACCTGCAGTTCCATTTTGCTTAAATCAGTAATGACAGAGGCTGCCAAAGATGATTTTGGTCCATGATGGCCCGTAGAATAGCTCAGGTTTAAGGAAGGAAATATCCTCTATGTAAATACCAACAGTCCCTCTAGGATATAACATGGAACAGATAATTTCACAGCTTCTGAAGGAAGTTTCAGAGGGACGTATTTTTAAATGGCAACCAGTCTTGCTTACAGCCCTCTGGGTTTCTTTTTTTATGGTGAGTCTGTCAGCTGCATCACCAGTTGTTACGGCACGTGGCTTCTTCCATTAAGAACAATGATGTACCCCATTTGGTTTAATTCTTACGTAAGTCAAGTGAGAAAAATAGGACTCGTGCAGCATTTAGAGTAGTTAATAAAGAAGGATAGATTGCCTTTTCAGCTTTATTAGTCTGATGGAAAAGAAATTTCACTGGGATTCTTTAGAATAGAGTTCATGTCACCGTGGAGAGCTGTGAGTGGCACTGAGATAATAATTTTCCTGTCTATATTATCTTCCTTTCAGATGGATTTCAAAACACTTTGCATACTGTCTAGTTTGATCACGTGCACAAGCTCACTTTCCTCCTCACTGAAATACAGCTACTGCTGCAGAGGAATACAGAAGCTATTTAGCCGCTTACAGCAACATTACAGAGTGGTTTAGGACTGGAAAAGAGTATCACTAAATTTAAATAAGGCCTCGGGAGAACATTAAGAAGCAGAATGTCAGAATTCATTCAGAAACCAGCTGATGCTGGAAAACTAATGTCACCGTTACATGCAAGTGCCATGTGGTCCTTGCTTATGAACCTTAGTTACAAGTCTCATTAAATTGAATAAAGTGACGTTCAGTGGCACAGTTCCTCCTAATGTTGTGCTTGGATGTTGGTTCAGAAGGTCCCAGAGGAAAAGGTCACATACTGTGCTATCAGGAATTTGTCCTTCAGTCTGTGACTTTTCTGCAAAGGACTTCCACGAAGAAAACAGTCTATGAAACCTAACAAGACGTATGGCATCAGGGTACATATGTTCTCTGAATCCTTCTTGGGCCATATTTAATAAAATCTGCTTCTCTACTTTAGGGAGAACCAGTGTGAGATTGAGGCTAGTGGAAGCGTGAGTGTCCCTGTGCACACCCTTCCCAGCACCTATCTGCAGAAGGTGCCGGAGCAGCCAGAAGATGCTGACAACCAGAAGAACGTGACGCGGATGATTCAGCCACCTCTGGACAAAACCACCACTGTGAACATCCCTGTCACTATCACCGCCCCGCCGGGGGAAACCACGGTCATACCAAGTGAGTGCCTTTGTCCCCCTGCTTTTTGCCATGAAATTGCCAGAAAAGAGCTAACTTTCCGAGGAGCTAGCAGCACACACTGGGTGATTGAGGGTCTCCTGGCCAGCAGCATCCTTGCAATAGATGGAGGGGAGAACTTGTTGATGTAGGCTGTACAGTTCATGCAGTCTGCAGGAACCCAAAATGGGAGGGTCAGCTGGTGGCTCTGCAAAACACCCTGTGAGGTTCTCTGGAGACGACTCACCAGAGCACATCCGTGTGTCTTTCCATAAGGGTAAGGTTCAAAGAGCAAGAAAAATAACAAAATGTAGCAATTAAGAGCTCTGTAGCAAAACAAGCAACTTCTGCAGCGAACCAGTCGAGACCTTGTGGTGAGGACGGGAATTGGTCCTCTGCTTTGTCACCTTGCTCTGCTGCCGTGCTGCAAGCTGCTGCTCCAACAGTGCTGTGCTACGGTTCCTCTGGTGTCCCAGGGGCCGGACTGGGCACAGACCCCTCAGCAAAGCACAGGGGAGGCAGTGGCATCGCATTCAAGCCCACAGACCAAGTTCACGCTTCTTGGCTTATCGGCTGGCCCTGCTGTGGAGCAGCAGGTCCTTCATGGCTGCACAGCTACCGCAGCGCCCATCGTGTGCCCCTGCTGCTTTGGGTTCCTCCAGGCTGTGCCATTTCAAGAGCTGCTTGCAATCTTCTGCATCTCAGTTTCAGCAGGTCCACCCTAGCTTGTCCTCTTCCAGAGCTCTCTGCCTTGGGGCTATCAGCGTAATTTAGACTGTTTTGCAGGCAGTCCCAAGATTATTGTGCCCGTGGTCTGTTCTGCAGCCACCCAGCCGCCAGCCTGTTCTGACCAGCTTGTGGCTCATCCCTGGCAGCGTGGGCACAGGCTAGAGAAGTCCTGAGAGCTGGGGAGGCCAAGGAGAACTGCAGTGTGAAATCTGAGAGGTTCACAATAGATTGCAGGCTCTCAGGACTCTGCTTTCCAAGAGGCACAGACAAAAGCTAGTAGTTTCCCTACATGCTTTTTCACTGTGTTGTCCGCCACACAAAGCTTGTATTTTTTTTTTTCCCTTCTTTTTTCTTAAATGATAATTTTACTATATTGTATTACTGAGTTCCTGTCAATCACAATTCATCAGCCTCTCTTTCCTGGCCACTTCCTGTGTATCTGGCTTGAAATACAACACGGAGTTTATTAACCTTGTCACTCACACACAATGAAATGTCATTTTGTTGCAAAATAAAATAAAAAGCAATAAAAAACCTAAACCTGACACATCATGAGTGGGTGGGGTTTTTGAATTCTAGGTCCTGTGAATTAATAGAGAAGTGTATGTATCTAAGAAGAGAATTTGCAGCATAAAATGTTTTCCAGTTCATATATTACAAATCATCTTAAGTACATAATCCTATAAACTCACCGCAAGTAAACATATGACAGGAGTTAGAGAATGCATTTCTAACCTTTGGGAGTGAGGTTCAGAACAGTATTCTAGAAGGGGATTGTGTAAGTTAAAAACCTGATGTGAGATGGAGCTTGACACCTTTATACATGGGCAGCTCTGCCAAAACTGGGGTGCACTATGCAGGCACAGAGCTGGGGGGTCTGAGACGTCCCTTCCAAATCTCTGTTCCTGGTGCTGGGAAGTGCAGCAGTCTTAGCCCCCAAATTATTAAAGCTCATCTATGAATTTGCTCTTTCACATGTTCCAAAGCCAGTCGTGCTGCTGATCTGTGGGAGAAGATACAGAATTATACAGTTGGTTAGACTTACTGTCTTTTTTTTCTTTCCAAGGATCCCTAGCTGATCCTCTCTCCCTAATAATTTACGATATTTGGAATGGGATTTCCATCCTCACTTTGGCAGCTCTTGTATAAATAAGTGTAAGGATTCTTTGTTTGTCTGCACTGGGCATCTTTTTTTCCTGGCCATTTCTGATATATTGCTCATCAGTGCAGCAGTTAAGGCAGTATAATTGCAGTGTATATCATACAGTAGTAAATAGTGGTGTTAATAATCAAATGATTGTTCATCACATTTAATCAACATATTCAAAGGCTGTTTGCTATCCCAGCTGCATTGTTTGCATATCCAGCTGTTGCCGGCAGTCCAATATGTGAAGACTGCAGATACATTTTTAACTCTCTCGTTTCTGTTTCCTTGAATTCACATTTCAGTGAACAACGTTGAATTTGAAAGTAAAACAGAGGAGAAGAAAGATGTCGATGACTTGACGAAAAATGGGCCTAAACCAATCTTGCCTTACAGTTCCATGTTTATCCTAAGTCCTACAAATCCGTAAGTCCTCTGACTCTATAATACCACTTATGGGTTACAGGTACTTCAAGCATGTGTATTCAAAGCAATAACATTAGCTCGATCTTCATCTCTGCTGGACAAACACGTTGGGTAATTAAATAAAAGCTTATGTAGGCTGTGGACCAGATGCTGCCTTTCAGCTGGGCTTTCCTGGGGGAATAAATTGCCAGGCCAAGGAAAAGACGATGCTTTAGGCAGACCCTTCCTAACTGCCCTGCTGACGGTCAGGTAGGCAGTTATTTCCTCAGTCGTAGATCACTAAAGGTGGGAGTATGGATTGTTGATGGGAAAATACATTATCAGGAGAAGAAGACTGGGGGCAGTTTTTGCTGTCAGCAAACACTTGCAGGTTCCTCAGCTGGAATTCATGCTCTCTTTATACTAGTACCCTCACATCACTGAAAACTTTGAACTTCTGGGAAAATGTGAATATTTTTAATATGCCAAAGCTAAGAGTACAGCTTGTGGGATCTGTTGGGATTACAGCATTTCTTCTGCTTCAGGCATCTCTGCCTCATGGGGAGCTTTGTACTCAAAGCCTGTAAATACTGAATGTGTCGCTCTGAAGGGCTGCAGGACTAGACAAGAGCAGCAGGAGTTGTAATAATTGTAGCATGAAGGCCTGTGAGTCATTTTAAGCAGTAACTTAGAGCAACAGAGGGTGTTTGAAACTTCTGCCAACCCAGATATCTGCTAGGAGCAGACATGATCATTTCTCTCTGTCTCAGGTAAACTTCTTGTAGACCCTAGATGTTGCTCTCTGAGGTTGTACTCTGCATGCTCAGATATCTAAGGCACTAATCTAATAGTAACTCAGGCCTTTCCTTTGGCAACTCAGTTCAAGAGAATGAGTGCTCCTATACCTCCTGCTACTCAGGGCTGTCATCCTGGCTGCCTGTGCAGTCCGTGGAACAAAACAGGCTGTTCCCCCGTACTCATCTTTGACATCAGGAATGCATCTGTGGTGAAGCCGTGGTCTGGCACCCCTGGACAGTAGGCAGGCTGAATATTTCCTTTAAACACAAGTGCCAGCTGCATTGTTCAGGCTACAGCCCTGCATGCTCCAACATGATATAGCAAGAGCACAGAAGGAATTAATCAGTGGGAGAAGTTAGATTATCTCTCCATGCCAGCTGTCAGAGAGGGAGAATGACCCCAACTACTGCTAATCTAATCTCATCTCCAAAGGAAATCAACTGAAGACTCAGTATGTGCCCTTTCTTTCTCAAACCCACAAGGCACATGCTTGTGCTTCCCCTTTGCCTTCTCCAGCCACTTGCCAGGTAGACTTCAGGGATCTTTAGGATAACTGAGCTGAAAGCCGAGAAAGTTTCCCCATTTCAGAATACTGTGATAGCATTGTGCTATTTCAAATAAGGCAACATGTCCTTTGAATTCATGTAAAAGGCAGCTAAGGGGAGGGCAGAGCTTTAGATGAGTGTAATTATACTTTCATAGTGTAATTATACGTTCTGGGTCAAATTTTAATTACAGAGCTTGGCCCCTGTCTAGCTGGATAAGGAAACAGCATTTCCCTAATATTTGGTAACTCAAGTCTTTTTATTGTGGAGTGACCACTGAAAAAGTGTTAGCTGCAAAGTGTCTGCTAAGGGCAGCACTGCAGAGTGGGAGGCTAGATGGTCCCAAGCCCAGAAGGGTCTGAGCTGAGGAGTGGATTGGGCAGACAGAGAAGCAGCAAGACTTTTTTGTTTCATGTGTATGCTTGTCTTCTCTCACCTCATCCTACAGTTATGACCTTTTGAGCTTCATAGTCCAGGATTTGCTATGCTGTTTCAGTCATCTTGCAGTTTTCTCCAGCACACACACCCCCTCCCCCAAAAGTTGTGCTAAAAGACCATTGAAAAAAACAAAGTTCACTGGGAGAGACGTATTATAACACAGGACCAAGGGGAAATAACAAGCCAAAGACAAAACTCTAGGAATGTCAGCAACTTGTTTTTCTTCCTCTGGGCAAGATGCAGACCCAGCTGGATCCCCTCAGGTGTTTTGACTGGTGCTAACTTCTCAAGAGAGGTCTCTCTGCTTTCTGGGGTATGAAGGTTTCACCACATCAATTGCTAATTATCCCCCTTCCAAGCATTGCTGGGGCTGCATGACCCGGGTGCTGCTAGCGGGCAAAACAGTTCTGAGAAGCATGAATGAAAAGTATTACTTTCCAAGTACTACCACCCTCTTAAAGCAGACATGCATTTAAAATGATTTCTCAAGCACCACTGACAGTTTACAAATGCTCCCACATCTCGCTGCTGGTTATGAATGATGAAGATCTAAAAATAAGGACTTGTTATTTCTTTGATGAATTGAGTTTGATGCAGGAATTACTGTTACAAATGTTATTGAAAATGTTGCCTTTCACTTCTGTGTATTCATGGAGCACATAGATGATAATCTTCTTCTGTCAGATTGATAACCAGAGTAAAGAGATCCACAAAAGCACTTTTCTTCACGTTATTTTGAATCAAATCTATTTCCTTGGTATTTGTAATTCTCTTTCATTCTGAATCTATTAGCGATCCAGAGAAAATTAATATGTAAGTAGATATGAAAAATAAATTTTAATTCTCACTGTTCAGATATTTGCTTAGAGAAAATGTGATATAGTAACTGAATTACATTCTCAGATAACAAGGTTGTTGGCGAGTTACACATATAATTTGATTCTCAGGCAGAACCTAAATCCCTTATTCAGCTGTCAAATATGGGGCAAAGGTAGAGTTCTCTGTGCCATGAAGTATTTGTGAATTGTGGTCAGATAGAGTTATTAGCTGAAATTTGTGAGTAGTTTTGCTTTGCTTAGAAATTGAAGCATTTGTCACTTTTCTTAGACACAATTTGTGAAGATAAAGATTAGGTTAAGGTAATCAAATATATTACTGAAAAGTATTTGTGCAGCTTATAAAGCATATCTTAGAATAAAGTGCAGGCAGAGGTGCTTGGCAAGAGAGAGATTGGTAGAAGTAATATTCAAAGTTACAAAGCCAGTTTCAGCTAAGAGTCTCAAAGTGCATAGCATATATCTCAATTTTAAAGGGATTAGTTGATATTAAAAGGATTTCAAACCTAGTTTTGAACTCACATGAATTGAGCCTGTGAGTTCAAAATGAAAAGGATGGGGGAGTATATAAACATAATTTGTAAAATTGAGTCTGAATTCTTGAAAGCCCTCAATGCCCTTTTGGCAGATATATAGATGTCATTGCTTTGCAGGCAGGGTAGAGAGCAGTGCAGAGAGGTTAAATATCTTTAAATTTCACCACAGATCTGTTGCAAAGTAGAGTTTTAAAGCCATTGATCCTGGGTTTTATTTTCTTACCATTATTGTAATAGGAATCCTAAAGGTGATATTCCTGATGAACGCTGTCCTTCTGCCAGTCTTCCATACATCTGCACTTGACTTCCAGCACCTGCAATAGCCCTCCTATGTGCTTATGTTGTTTGCAGGATTCGGCGTCTGTTCCACTACATCGTCAACCTGCGCTATTTCGAGATGGTCATCCTCATAGTTATAGCCCTCAGCAGCATTGCCCTGGCTGCAGAAGACCCTGTCCAAGCCGAGTCACCGAGGAACGATGTGAGTACCAACCAACATGGCCAGAGTAAAGTTGTTCTGCTTCCCCCAGCAGTTACGCACACGGCGTGTCTGTTCCCATCTCCAGAGGCTAACACGGTGCACTGGCAAGTGCAAAACTGCAGCTTTCTTTAATAGCATACTCAAATTATCTTGTCCCACTACCAAAATGCTCACAATTCCTGCCCCTTTCTGCTGCTTCAGCCGCATCCAAGTTTGAGAACTTGGAAATCACCGGTTGTTTGGCTAATGTGACTTATGTGGAAGAAGCCTGCAGATCTTACACACCATTCAGCAATGGGAAAGGCTTCCCCAGTCACGAGCCCGGCCTGACATTGTCCCAAGTTCCCCTGCTCCTGCTACAGCAGAGCCTGAGGACGTAAAACCAGATAGGGCTTGATGGAGGCATGGTAGCAATCTCCTAGAATTAGTAGCAAATCTGCTTATCCATGGATGTCAAAACAAAGTTGGAGACTTCATAGATGGGTGCTGTTAGGAGCAGAAGTAGGAGTACACCACTTTTACATGAGAGCATGCAGCCAGGAGTGTTTATGAAGCAGATAGTTGGGTGTCCTTTTTCAAGCACATTCACGTGAGGACATTGGCACAGAACTGGTTACAGTTACATGGACAACTGGGAATCTACAGAACTGGAGATTAAGTGTAGAGATTGCAAGGCACAGTTGTCTAATTTTGGACTCTTCAGTGTAGATAGTTACAGTATGTGGCTATCGTGATATTTATATTGACTTAATATCCATTCACTGTGTATAAACATCTGAACCTGACTGTGAATGGGTGCACCCCATCCACAGAATTATGTCAAAATTTAGGAGATCTATAGATATTTGAATGGACTGGTACTGCACTTACCAGGATGTGTACCGAGGAGTCTGTGTTCATCCACTCCTTAAACAGATTAAGGAACTGAATTGCTTCAAAGCACAAGTTGGCAGACTAGGTCAGAGCAGGAATTTTCTGGACTGGCCTCCTGGTTCTGCATCTGGTCAATATTAGTGTTTTCCAGAGGAGGATCCATGAATCCCTGTGTCAGTAATGAGGTGAAGTAGCTACAAGCAATCTCTCTTCCTCATCCTTAGTAACTGTGGAATCAGTTTTACAAAAAGGATTTTTACATTCTCTTAACTCTCTCAAGGTCTTTAATAATACTGTCATCAACTACAGCAGAAGAAAAACCCAGTCTGCTACACAGATTCAGGCAAATAAGCTCTTTAGTAAAGGATATTCAAATATTTCAATTTGAAATATCCATTTTGCCTTCTTAAACCTGCCATATATGCAGTTGCACTGAAGCAACCCATGGGCATGCATACTGCAGTCTGGCGAGGACTGGAAAAAAATGTTACTGTTTAAGTCAGATGATTCAAGTTTGTACCTAACTTATATGAAAGCCTCCCATCAGATGATACTTACCAATTGTAGCAAAGAGACCATTGCTATAATAGACTTTTTACTCTTTGCTCATGTGCAGGTTATTTCCCCGTGTAGTCTCCCCTAATAAGCATTTCTCTTTCCATTTAGGCTCTGAAATACTTGGATTATATATTTACGGGTGTCTTTACCTTTGAGATGGTGATCAAGGTAAGAATTTTTCCAAGCAGAAAGGTTCACCTCCCCTTTCAGACTTACACTTATCTACTTCTGGGAAGCTGAAGAAAGAGGAAGGAGCATGACAGAGCTCCCTGGGGCACCTGGAGAGGTGGTGAGGATGGAAAGCTTTAACTCAGGAACAGCGCTCGGAAGTAGCCAGTGCACCACGGATGCCTTTCTGTAGCAGCTCTCCTGGTTTCCTTAATCTCACATTTTATGGAGGAAAATAAGAAATATCTTTAGTAGCTGTGGTTGTATAAGAGGATAAGAAATGTCAGTGCCTGATGCAGAGATGTCTGTGCGTGGCTGAGGACACAGAAGTTGATAGACCTTACTGAAACGCGTCTGGTTCTTCCCTTTTTTTCTGACGCTGATTAGGAATATTAATAGCAACTGATTCTTGGTCTGTCATGTTTCAAAAAGTTGAGGATTTATCTTTCTACTTTATTCAGTAGGGTGATGGGTTTTGCTAAGAACTGTGGGGTAGTAACTTTCCAGAAAGCACAATTCTAATAATGTCAGGATTTATCCTTGGGATAATGATGGAGTTATTTTTTACTATCAGAGCAGGATGCAAAAGAGATGCAGAATAGAAAACCCGATTTTCCCTTGTTTGTTCAGTAGAAGGATTAGAAACTATGTGAGGAAAGCAGCTTGATGTGGGCAGTTGTAGAGCTCTCAGCAGATAAAATATCTAGTATGCACTTAGAGACTCAACTGTAGAAGATATTTAGCAGCATTGTAAGGAGACACTCAGTCTCGTGCAGAAGCAAGCCAGGCTGCTACGCTGAGCAGCATCTTTCAGCGAATGCTCCACAGCAGGTGTATTTCTTTGCTATTGCATTTGGCTGTGGGTCTTCCCATCCTCTCTTTGTGTTTTCTTGCATAATATCCTATGCCAGTTAAATTACGGAAAAAAACCCCTATGCCAATTAAACTATTTGAATGTTTCACACACAGACTGCTCTTCCCTTAAATCAATGCATGTCTGTGCAAAGAATCCTATGTAGCAGTTAGTGTTCTTGTCTCTTGTGCTTTTGGTTATGGTTTATTGACTTCAGCTTTGGTTCTGACAGAGCTCTCTGTGCCTATTAGAGATGAGCAGCTTGGCTAAGTATCTAGACGTTGCCCGGCTGCTGCGGAGCCCTGAGGAAGTGTTTGTGAGGGGTCATTTAATCAAGGACATTCCTCCGTACCTCAGTTGTGTTGATTTGGTTCTTGTTTTATTAAAACCCTTTCTTTTCCTGTGTTTCCTCTGAAGATGATTGACTTGGGGCTGTTGCTCCACCCTGGCTCCTACTTCCGTGACCTGTGGAATATCCTGGACTTCATTGTGGTCAGTGGGGCCTTGGTGGCATTTGCCTTCTCGTAAGTACATTTTCCTTATTATCCCAATTTCTAGGAAATAAGTTGCAGAGGAGGCAAGACTGTGACACAGAGCTAGTTGAAGTGTAGAGTTTGTGGCTCCATTTCTCAGTGAAATGTTCAGTTTCTGCCCTTTATCATCTTGTAGCTGGGGGGAAGAAAAAAAAAATCTGTAAATTTGTGTTGTAGAATCTCTTGAAAATTCTCTCAGATTTAGTGTGAGTCCATTCACTGTTCATTCAAACACTAAGCCAAGGTTTATCTGACTGTTTGGCCAACTTCTTTTCAAAGACACATTGTAACAGTTTGTGGCAGTCCAAGTCTTCGGACAATTTTTAAAAAAAATGTTCTTACTATGAAAAAGTAGTTAATGAAATCAGCTGATATCTCAGTGAACTCTTTATAAAACATTATTTCTAGACTCATGGATATTTCTGGTTCATATACATTTGGTATTTCTCTCTCCTCCTCCTCTCTCATTTAGGGTACTTGCATTTCCAGAGAGTTTCACTTCTAAGGCTAATTGCTCCCTCCCTCAGTCACAGCTCTCTATTTATGACATTAAATAGTGTTCCATTTGCTTCGTTAATGTCATGGAGGATTTTGAGCAACAGAGACAGAGGAATTGCTTTTTAAAAATGAAGATTAGCTTTTCATTTGAGCATTTTTCTCAGAAGAGACCAGAAGAAGAACAATGAAGGTTCTTCAGAACTTGGGGAGCTCACAGTTGGATGATGGAAAGAAATATTCCACGTGTAGTTCTGGGCCACGGAATAATTGCATTGCAAATGTTTTCCTGTGAAATTCTAGGAGATGACCTGGAAACAGGCTACAGGACTTGGCCAGTTTAATCTTCTGCTAAATTAGCCTTGAGTAATTACAGTGAACATTTAGCAGCCCACGCCCAAACTCCACTCACCTGTTTGTTGACATGGTGATTAGAGAAGGCAAAGAAATTAGCAGTGTTTTACTTGCTAATGAGAAAAACCATTCACCTTTGTCAAGTAACTGCAGAAGCGTGTCTTGTATATTTTAGACTGACAGTAATTTTTAGGCAGACAGCCATATCTGTTGCTCCTCTTATGTGCTCTGCTGATGAAAATTACTGCCACATCCCTCGCAGCACAAAAAGTTACCAGGACCTTTCTGGCAAGGTTGGGCTGGAATATTTCTCAGGAGCTTTTCATTTTCTGAGGTGTCAAAATTCCTTTGACATTAAAATTGTGAGATTTGTGGTTTAGTTCTTCTATTCTTCATAACAAATGCTGGATAAAAAAAAAATCTAATCTAATTTAATGAAGGAACGGATGGACAGAAGGGGATGGGATTGGCATGTTTGGTATGATTTTTGAGCCAGTTGAGGAGTGACACTTGGAGATATTGGGGTCTGGGCTTTCTGTGCCAAATCATACACCAGAGAATTGTTTAGATCTGGGAGCAAGTCATGTGCAGTAGAAGTTTTTCAAAGGGACGTTGCCCTCCCCTCTTTTAAAATCTTTGTCCCTATTCATTAGAAATTTGGTTTTCAGAGGAACCGAGTGCTCTGTTGTAAGCAAGGTTGTCTTGAGATAGAATTACTGGTCTGGTGAACGTCTTGCTTATCTAAAATTAACATCCAAAAGTAGGCTGCTTTTAAAGTTTGACTAGATGTGTGTGACTTAGTTTCCTTGCACATGAAATATAGTGGCATAACATCTTTCAGAACTGGATGTGGTCAGACCGAATTAAGCAGAAACTTATTAAAAAAAAAAGCTTAGCAATTTAACGGAGATCCTCTGAATTGAAATTAGGTATAAAAGTAAAATAATATTAGTCACAAGTATTAGTTTGCAAAACAATATTACCCAAGTCTGTGGTTCACTGAGACTTTCATTTTCTATTAAGAATTCAAACTTTGAAACGGCAGTCTGGAAAAAGGGTCATTTTGTGAGCCCTTCAGAGCAACTCCCTGTGCTGGAAAACAAACATCAGGGTTTGCTTTAAAACATCTTCTCTTTGAACAAGATCTTCTTTTGGACAACTTATGGATTAGAATGAGTAATTTTTAATCTTTCTGAGTATTTTTGTGCTCAGGTTTTCTATTGCTCACACTGGGCCATGAATATCTAGCAGCACCTCATCAGCCTCTAAATAAATTACTTGTACATCCCCTGTCTGTGCTTCATAACAGTGTGCCCCAAGCTGCTTCTATTTTACATGTTCTTTGAGTAAGTATTGAGCAGGGATTTACAGAACGTGAATGCATAAAACCTGCCTGCCTATTTACTGTCTGACAGATTAAAGTGAGTCAGAACTATTTCTGAGACTTGGAAAAATTTTAATTTCTTCTCTGATTTTTATTAAGACTGTAACCTCTGCTGCATGTCCATGTTTCAGCAGGCAGTGAGTGTTGACATTTAATTCAGAAAATACTTGCAGTAACTCTGGACTAACCTGAGAGCAGGAAATCCAGTCATTCGTAGGAGATGACTTGCTCTCTGTTCCCACTAGTCCAGTTATGAATACTAACAAGTCTTAGACTGCTCAGATGAAAATTGGTCCTTAGCTCAGCTGCATTGTTTGGTGAAACCAGGCGGATGCACTGAGCCTGCTGAATTTTGATAATCCTGAAAACGAGCTTTTGGAGAGTAAGCTTGGTAATCTTTGTTGTTTTGTTAGTGGGCTTTTTCTAGCAAACACTGCAGTCCCATCACACATCCTCGGTGTCACTGTAAAAATGTATTTAATGTGGCTGCTACCAGTTTCTGCTTGCAAGAATACATGATTGCCACTCAGTGGGTGTGATTTAATTCATGCATGTTCTTGACCTCATTGGTGTCCAGTGAAGGTGATTCTTGCTGAATAGATGTGTCACTGAAAACCTAGGAAAAACAGAGCTCCCTGATACGCTTCCATCTGGAATACTGCAGCAGCCTATGTTTGTTTAGGCATATGAGATGGTATCAGTTGTTGCTGTGGAAAAAATTGCTGTTTCATAAAATCTATCTCCGTCTCAAACCAGTTATGACTCTACTTTCTGCCTGTAGCTCTTTAGAAGCTATTCTGTGCTTGACTGTAGTTAAGGGAAAAAAAAAATTAAAACAAGGCCCCCATTGAGATGCTAGAAGCATTAATAACAATGATAATAAAACAATGTCTTCCATTTAGCAATGTATTTCAAAGAGAAATTCTAGAGATAAACATGCCACAAACATTACAGACTTGTTTTAGTCTTTAGGAAAGTAGAAATAGAGCAAGACAGCAAATTTGCCATCAAAATTTATCAGCCCCAGGTATAAAATATACTTGCTTAATGGAAATAGCTGATGAATAGCAGCAAAGAGATTGCGTTTTTACATTTTCAACAAGAGAAAGGTGGCCAAGATGCACAGAATTTCACACTGCTCTTTGTAAAGGCAAACAGCAAGGTTGCCAAACAACCAAGGTTGTTACCTCCCAGTGTCGGGAGGACGAAGGTGTATGTGCCCTGTCTGCTTGTCAGTCGAAGGGCTGATGCACCGTGGGGGGATGTGTGGGTACATGCTGTATGGCCAGTCTGTTGCTTCCTTGCTTGTTTATTTTTATGAACACTGACTTGGTGGGTGTGGGACAGGGGATGGGATTATCTGCCAGCACATATCTGTATGTGCTTGGGGTGCACTGTATAGCCTTATGTTTCTGTTTGTCATTGACTCTGCTCTTTCTTTGTCTTCTTCTTGCTGGAATCTCTCTCTAGGAGTTTCATGGGGTAATATGTTATTCCTGTCTCTTGCTGCACTGTTATGCCTGTCCAATGTGTGTACACACACTTGCCACTGTGGAAACGAACCATGTTACACCCATTGCATCGACTCCTTTGTCCCTTTATTACTCATTATTCAGTGAAACGTATTTTCCCTTAACAATCTTCATTCATCCTAATTTTCTTTAAGCAGAGGATAGAAGCAGACTAGAAAACCAAGAAGGCCAGAGAGTCAGAAACCATGATAAGCAGATATATTTGTACCAAAAAGATTTGAGGTGATGACTTAATGGGTACATTATTAATGAGTGAGTTGCAATTCATTAAAACCTTAATAAGTAGGTTTAAAGAAGCAGTTTTATTCTCATTCAGAGAGTTGCACTTCTAAACTGCATTAGCAATGCGGGAAGCTTCAGGTCTAATTATGTACAGTCTGGGCAACGTGACCCAGCTGGGATTCAGGCTGTCTCTGACATTGGTGAAAAGTCTTTGACATGAAAACAGAGCGTAGAGAGCATTTTGAGAGGCTGGTGAGGCAATTTATAAAGAAGGAGATAACAAAAGTTGCATTTAACCACCTGCAAGGAGGTGGCAGTTTTGGCACTGGTGCAGTACAGTGCAGCTTTGCTTCGGGGACACGGGGGGAGGCAGAGCTACGTCGTCTCACACCCCAGTTCAGGGCAGGGTGGGAGCTTGGGGGGGCTCCTCTGCAGCAGGTAACCCCGAGGTGCAATGAAAAGGATGCAAAGAATGGTCTTTGTAGTCCAGGAAATTGGGTACTTGTTTCTTTCTTCTGTCTAGGAAACCAGATTATTTAGAACCTGGAAGAGGGTGCCTTTGTGCTCGGGCAGAGTTGCGTGACCTCATTTACTCTTCAGTGGAGGAATTCATTTTCTGCCTTGGGGATTTCAGGCAATTGCAGAAGGCTGTGACTCCACCCTACTATGAATATTTGATGCCATGACTTTAAGAGGCCCATGTTACATGAAATCAGAGCTGCTGGCAGGAGCAACAGAAACAAGAAGCTTCCATTTTAAAGAACTATTAATTTTTTAAAGGATCTTTTATTTATTAAAGGAAAAAAGGCCATGCAAAGCTCTTTTAAAATATTTTTATTGTTTTAAATAAATAAACTGTCCCAGAAAAAACAGAACTGGCCTAATGCAACCAGGCTTGACCTAATGCAATCTTTTTCTTTATGGTGTTGGTTTTTTTTTTTTTTTAAAGTCATTGGGCTTCTGTTCACTCTCTGTCTTTAGCCTGCTTGCTCTTCTGCAGCTCTTCTGAATTTTGTAGTTGTTATTCTGCAGTCACCTAAGATCTTGTCCTTCCATAGCAATTTATTTTTGTTGTGAGATATATTCTGGTCAAATGTGCGCTTGTATATATATGCCTTTTGACTGAATCCTAGTTTCATCTGGACCTTTTATTTTGTGGGACATCTGGCTTTGTATATAGAGTGGTGTAAAAAGCCAATACTGGAAGAGAGTGTTCTTAAAAACACCCAAAACAACCCTTCAGGTTTTATTGGACAGGTTGAAATAGTTGCAGAAGATCCATTTGATTAAAATGCAATTTGCATTACTCTAGCTCAGAGTGCCAGTCCGCTGAAAAAACTTTCTCCTGTAGCAGGAGCCTTACTGTGACAAGAATTAAGCATGATTTTTCAAGATTCTCTTTATGACTTAGATCATAAATCCCATTAACATTTAATTGGTTCATGCTCTTTATTTGCTTAGGTGCCTGAAAGGAGAAAAAATAAAAATCAACTCTTCTTAGTGTACTTTTTTCAGTCAGAAGAAACTTTGTAGGATTGGAGCTGTCTGCCCTTCACCTCCAAGCTCGCGGTGCAGTCATCCACACGCCTCCCCGTGTGAGGGAAAACCAGCTGCTTCTCTCATCAACCCAGGAGAAAGGATTTGCTCTGCCCCACCTGTTCACTAGTCCCCAGTAGGTCTGTTTAACTTCTGTAGAAATATGAAGTCCACAGAGGTTACTGCTCCAGGCCTGGAGCCAGCCCTGTGAGACCTGATCTAGCTCCTCCATAGCCAACAAGTGTCTCTGTTCTCGTCTTGAACTTCCCTCTCAGGAGGCCTTAGTGGTACAACTGTTGTTTAGCACAAATGCATGGCGGCGTGATAAACAGATGGTTAGGTCTCCTGGAATCAGGAGCACTGGAAGACACCACATATTCTGTGGTTCTGCATGAACCCCAGTGAGGACTGTTGAGGTTTATTAGTTCAGTTGCTACCTGCCAGTGGCTGTGCTGATAAACTGGGCTGTGTGTGTTAATCTGCACACCAGAACCGTGGCCACAAATGATCGAGAATTGAATACAGTTCTGGGCCAAGGTATCCCACCTTCTTTTTTTCTCCTGTTGCCCCAAGCACATGTCCCTTAACGCTCTCACCTTCACTCTTCTCTCACCTCTACTTTCTGAGCTCCTACCTCTTCACCCTCTCTGCCCTGGCTTCCTCATCTGGTTAAATGGGTGGGCAACTTGGAGCAACCTGAGCTATTTGCTTGACTTTCCAGAGGGGAGAGTGTGGAAGGAGCAGCAGGGACAGCCAACATGATGGGCATGTGCTGGGTGACCATCAGCCATGGGGACAGGCTGGCTGGCTGAGCCAGGTGGTATCTCCTTCCCAGTAACCTGTTTCCCCTTCCACTTCTCTCCTGCCACTGACTGTCCTCCTCAAGAATCTGAACAAATTGTTTTGCAGCAAGGGCATGGCTAAGGATTGGACAAAGCTGCCTGGGGAGTAGGTGAGCTCCAGTTTGGCTGGCTCAGCTGGGGGCTATGGTGACAAGGAGATGGTTGCAGGGACCATAGCAGGATCGTTGCTTGCTAGGAGTTTGTGATTTGAAAGCAAATATGCAAAGCTAAACAAGGGCCAGATATTCAGTTATGCTAAAACCCAAAGAGGAAGCCAGTAAAAGCTGTGTTGGCAGTGTCTGCTTCATCTCAACCAGATTAAAGGGTCTCTAATGAGAATCAAAAATTATTTCAGTTAAATATATAATAGTTATTTTGCAGCATTAAGTCAGTCCTGTAACTCTGTGAATATTAGCTCAATAACCTGGATTTACAGCCGTGCCAGCAGTCAGGATCCATCTGCAGCTGATTAAAATGGCCCTAAAGCAGCTCTGAAAGATGAGATAGGGAGAGTATAGGTAAATCTCCATCCCATTCCCCCTCTCCTCCATTTCTGTTGAATCATGTGCAAAGGCAACTTGTGTTCAATGTATAAGTCATTGAGATACAACCCACGGCCCTCCAAAAATTCCTCGTGTCTCACTGCTTATTGCATTTCAGGACAACTGCTGTGACTGGTAATTGGAGAAAGAGACCAGAGATGAGACAGGAATGTGTTGCAGATTCCAGTCCAGTGTTAGTATTGAATAGTACAGTATTAATACTGAGTTAATAGTCTTTCAGAAGTGGATAGATTGCAAAGACACCTTCCAGGGCTGAGCAAGGTCAGCCAGCCACGAAACTGGGTGATTTCCTCCGTTCCTGGTGCTTATCCCTTTGCACAGTGCAGAGGGCTGGCTGCTAGCCGGGGGGAAGCCTTGCAGTCCACTACCTGCACATACCTCTTGTGGGTCTCTCTGGTTACTTGTATTTCTACTGCTTTCCTGTTGGAGAAAATAAATGTTTAGCAAACTGGAAGAGCATAGAATAGGTATATCAGCATCTGTTCAACATGTTATTCATTCACACATGTGTTACTTCAATACAGTCTCAGACCCAAACCTGTAGTCATGAATAAAACTCTGTTAAAGATTTTCATCCCATTTTTCACTTCATATGAAATGAAGGGGAATGTCATTGTTTTGCTGTTGGGTTGGAAGAAGATGTAACTGTGTCTTTTTTTATTTATTTTGGAAGTGCACGAGGAAAGGAACTCTGTCCTTCCCCTAAAAAACCTCTTAGTGGTAACAAGAGGAACGGTCTCAAGCCTCGCACTCAGTTTTAACAAAAACTAAAAACAAAATCTGATTTACACCACCTGCATGCGTAAGTGGGAAGTTGCCCAAGCACTGTTCCAGGCATGTAATATACCATGATATTACATGTTCCTGCATGGGTTTGGTAGCATGTCTTCCAAGAGAGGCTCGAGGATGAGGGTATGGACATGGAGCGGCTCTGGTCCCCAGGAGAGCTCTGTCCCTCGCCACGAAGGCTCCAGTTCCCTCTGGTCACTGTTTGCTTGCCTAGACACAACGTCCCTGCCAGAGAAGTGCAAGAAGCACACAGAGAAACGTCCACCTGTCTCACCCAGGTGCCTGGGAGGGAGGAAGGCCAAGTGAGGCTTCCTCGCTTCTGCCTGGGGCTGGGATGAGTGCAGCGAGCCTCCCCTCCGCGTGGCCGCAGCCCAGGTGTGCTGCTGCCCTGGCTTTGCCCGCTGCCGGGGGGGAGAGTTGGGGCAGGGAGGTCCCCAGCCCCTGGGTGGTGCTCGGTGAGTAGCTGGGAAGTGAGCGAGGGCTGGAGGGCACGTGTGGCCGAACACTGCAAGGACCATGTCCTGCCCACGGCCTTCCTCCTGCGCGGTGATCAACGCGTCTCAAGTGGGTGTTTGATCATCTGCAGTCCTCACTAGGGCTGTCTGCATCCACAGTGAGGATGGCGCCCCAAACCTGTAAAAAAACCCCAAACCACACTGGCTACCTACAGGTATTTTAGTTAGTGACCTGAGGACCAAACTATTCCCTCTGTTGTTCTTGTGCCTTTTATCCCTTGCAGAGGAACCAAAGGCAAGGACATCAACACAATCAAGTCGCTGCGAGTTCTGCGGGTCCTAAGACCACTGAAGACCATTAAACGGCTGCCAAAACTAAAGGTTAGAGAATAACCACAAATCTTTCCTTCTCTGGAGGTTTGCAACTGATCTGAGTGGAAGCTGATGGACTAAACTTAATCCAAGTTATTTCTGTTCCTTTTATTTTGTTGCAATTAATCTCTTTGCCAGATTTATAAAAATAGCTGTGCAGATGTTTAGCAAATGTCAAACACTTGTTTCTTTTGCAAACATTGTGTGCAATATTATGAATTATTGTGAATCCACATGAAAATCAAACTTCTAAAAAAAGAAAATAAAAAAATGCAAACAAATTAAATTACAGTTCACAAGTGTGATGCTCTTAGAAATTATATAGGAGAAAACGGGTTTTGGAGTGTTTGACTTTCCCTGGAGAACTTAACATGAATATTGCAAGATTTTCCACAGTCTGTCTAAAGAGAAATGTCATTGCTGCATGAGGACTTTTAATCTGTTCATATTTTCTATTAAAGAATATATAGTGCAGAGTTTTATAGCAATACCCTTTCATCTCTAGAATACTAAGTTACAAAGCAAAATAAGCGTAATGGCCAGTGGTTACTTATTCAACACCATTTCCTGAATGCTTTGAGATACAGCCAAGCCCTGAAAGCAGAGAATGGAAGGAGTTATACAATTTCATAATTTCTGAGGTTTTGGAACTCTTGAATACCTATTGTAGAACGTCTTCATGTGGCATCACTGCTTGCAGGCTCTTTTCTGTGAAGGATGGGAGGAAAAGAAATGGGTGCTTTTGCAGTGGTGAAACTATGTCTGACAATTCCTGTTTTCACATAGTGGCATGTAAATATCAGGGTCAGCTGTTACATAGATTTGCTTTTGCCTTACCCACAGTTCATGTTTTAATAATTTTTATTTCATGCATTTTTATGCATACTAAATTCACCTCAAAAGGTAAAGAAGAGTAATGTTGAACAATGTAGAAAATGGTCTCTATTTGTTTAGAAATTTGAAATGTACTGCTCTTTGGTCATAAAGCAATCAACAGTAGCTCAGTCCTACAACAGGATGCCGACCACTTGGGTTTTAATGAATGAATCCTTATTTTCAAGCTATGTTACAGAGTAATTTTACCACTTCTAAAGAAGTATTCAGAAACTTTTATGTGAAACAGAAATCATATTCATATGGTTTGTCTTCAAAATTATGTCTTTTTTTTTTTTTTCCTGGATGTGATCTTGTATGCAACAATCAACAAGATTAATGGGGTGATTAGAGATATTTCCAGTGTTTTAATTCAGGATTTCTGGGTTTCATCAGAAGTGTAATTTTGTGAATTATTCACTTCCATTCAGAGAAACAGGAACAGTATTGTACAAACCCTGCGCCTGGGCAGTAGGACTGCTCAATTTCTATTATTATGACAAACTTCTCAGACTAAAATTAAACTGCAAATTACTTGTAACAATGAATGAGTGACTAATAACCAAATAATAAATGTTTTTGAGTAGTTCTTTGCAGGCAGTTCAGAAGTGACATATACTGACTAGATTAGTCACACTTAATTTTGATAGTTCACTTGAAAAATATTATTTGAAGCATTTGGTTGCTTTGTGTCTGGTATATTTTCCTTATTATTCAAACAGTTCAAATAACGGTCAGTGAGTAACATCGTCGATGAGTTTTTACCTATCTGCTGGGAGTAAATTAAACACAAGTACGTTTTTCATTTCATAATTGACCATGGAAATATTTGCTTAGGACTAGTAGTTATCTCGCTGAGCTGCGATTGTCTTTATAAATTTTATGGGTAGCACCAGAAAATTCAGCGGTGCAGCCAAACTCGCCGAGAAAGCAGATGTAGGAAGCCAGTGCTGTTTCTCACAGAGGGAGCACGACTCTTGGCCAGACACTTGCTGTGCAAGCCCATGAAATCATCCATGGGTTGTAGGTTGGGTAGTTACTCCCAAGCGTGGTTAGATGCTAGATGCCAAGAAGTTAGATGCACTTTTCTTTTCTTTCAACCCCTTAACCTTGTTCTCCATCCCCAGGCTGTCTTTGACTGCGTGGTGAATTCCCTGAAGAACGTCCTCAATATCCTCATAGTTTACATGCTCTTCATGTTCATTTTTGCCGTTATTGCTGTGCAGCTCTTCAAAGGCAGATTCTTCTACTGCACGGATGAGTCGAAGGAGCTGGAGAAGGACTGCAGGTATGTCTGGGGGCAGGGGCTGGGCAGGGGGAGCCCGACTTTCCTCTGGCAGCAGCAGCTCCCTTGGCTGTCCCAAAGCTGCATCGGTCAGGTATCTGCTGAGCTTGATCACTCTCCAGTAAGATCAGTACTTCAGCACAATTACCCTGGAGGTGAATCTTCCCTTTTGTTTCAATAGCTGCATCCTTCCTGGCTCTGATCTAGCAAATGCTTACCCCAAACCTTTGTGATACAGGGGAGCAGGCTCTTTTTCCTGGGGAGGGCTAGGTGTGATTTTTAGGGCAGAGGGTTTTGAAGGGCTGGTGACTCCTTTTTCTACCTGCTGCTTTGATTTTTAGGCATCATATGAATTAGAAAAATGTAATGAATAAATAATCAGAATTGAGTCAGTAGGAAATTAGAGAGCTCTTAATTGGCTAGAAAAGGGGTCGGCATTGGAATATCTTAAAAGCCCTGTCTTGCTTTGTCCTTTGCAGCAGACTGTCAAGGTGTTTTACTCGCCACAATGTGCATCTTCCTCACTTGCCGTTTTTCCTGGCACCAAAACATGTCCTCAGCACTTTCTGGGTCTGCCCGTGTTCCCCCTTTTCTGCCGCCTTGTCAATGCAGGGCACGTCAGCCACGGAGGCTGTCACTGCAGTTCTTCCATAAAGCAAAGCAGATATATTACAGAAAGAAATGTGAAATTATAGAAAAATGTAGGTTCGAGGGGAGCGTTTCAGATGCCAGGTCTCTCAGCCCCTCAAGGCAGGACCCAGCTATAAGGCAGATCCAACTCTGAAGTAGGAGCTGGAGACTTTTCCCCATCAAGCAGCCCAGTTTTCTGTGGGGTCAGACAATCTGGGGGCCAGCATGCTGTTAATTGCTGGCTTTGCCTAATGGATGGATGTCCAGTTTGCAATTTCTTTAATGTCTAGACCTCAGGTCCAGTTCCTGTGTCTTGAAATGGCTCAAAAAATTGCCTTTACTTGTTACAAACCAAGGGGTTGTCTCTTTATTTGTCTTTAATGCATAGCACAGTCGGACTCTGCTACTGGGGCTTTTTGATGCTTCTCAGTGAGTCATATGAAATGGCTGATTTAGCTCAATTCTCTCATTTGGTCTGAATCTCTGTTTTTCCTAGGGGTCAGTACCTCGATTATGAAAAAAATGAGGTGGAGGCGCAGCCCCGGGAATGGAAGAAATACGAGTTCCACTATGACAACGTGCTCTGGGCTCTGCTCACGCTTTTCACCGTCTCCACAGGCGAAGGGTGGCCAACGTGAGTACGTGGGACTGGCAGGGTCAGTGACCGCGGAGGTAATGGCAGCTTTCCACAGCTCTGAGGGACAAGTAAATGACAGGTGACCTGTGAAATAAGAATAGTCTTTTATCAGCTAAGCTTTTACTTCCCCTTGTGTGATTTTGGGGTGAATCAGCAGGCAGGGCTCTGCATTTTTCTGGAAGTTTTTCTGAGCTTGCACAGGGATGCTTAGGCAGTCTTCAGTACTTAATAGCTTGCTTGCTCCAGTCTTCTGGACTTGCATGCCTTTCTCAGGTGTAAAATTGATAATGGGAATGTAAGAAAATGAGGGGAAAAAGTACTGTGACCTATGCTGAACGTATGCTGGTTATGACAGTCCCAAAATTGTATTTACTGTTCAGCGTATGACTTTATTTTGGCACACTTTTCTGCTGGGACATGTGGAGTACAATTCATGGTCTGGGTTTCTCCATGTTAGGCCTTCCCTGTCCTCCACATTGAGCTATTTCATAAAATAAATAAAACATACAGCATCAATCTCCCTTCTCTAGTCTCCCACGGTGTTCCTTCTCAGAAATCATCAACACCTTTCTTTGCCCACCCTTACCTCATCCCTGTTGACCAGAGAAGAGAAGCCAGATCTAACTGTATCTCTCTCCCCTTGGCCAGAGGGATAAGTGGATCTGTGACTAGCGAATCTCCATCGTTCTGCAGAATGGTGAAAACAGCAAGGCTTTCCCTAGAAATATCCTCAAGGAAAACTTCTTCCCAGCCATATAGATGGGATTAAGTTTACCATGAGCATATGTGGAAACCCCTCCACGTGAGTGAAAGCCAGTGAGTGACTATCAAGGTGCCATTGGTGTTTCACCCTGATTTCATTGACTTTTCTTCTCTCTTTGTGCTTGATTGCAGTGTGCTGAAGCACTCGGTGGATGCTACCTATGAGGAACAGGGGCCCAGCCCTGGCTACAGAATGGAAATGTCTATCTTTTACGTTGTGTATTTCGTTGTCTTCCCTTTTTTCTTTGTGAACATCTTTGTGGCGTTAATCATCATCACCTTCCAAGAGCAAGGAGATAAAGTGATGTCAGAGTGCAGCCTCGAGAAAAACGAGGTACTCGTATCTTCTGAATCTGGAGTTAACACCTGGGGGCTCAGAGCACCTCATGGAAGCCCACTCCTCATCCCTGCCGTGCTGTGGGGGGCTCTGAAGCAGGCATTACCTGAGGGGGTGTGGTGTGGAGACCTAACAGCTTTTGCATAAAAACAAAAAGCAGGGAGATCCCCGGAATGCTGCCTGTTAGTAAGCACTGTCACACATCCCCATGGGCCACACCTCCGCCTCAAAGTGAATATAGACTTGCATGTTAGCTTCAGCATGTAGGTGTGAAAGGAGGCAGAAATCTTTGGCCTTTTAGAGGCCAGTCATCAGAAATCAAACTGAACTACAGTTGCTACAGCTCCCCCAAGGAGTGTTCCTCTCACCAGGCTGGTTCTGTGCCCGGCTGAGATGATGTCCTCCTGACAGCAGCCAGAAGTGGATGGCTTGGGAAGAGTGTAAGACCAGAGAAAGCACGTATGAGGCTTTTCTTTAATGCCCTAGCAAATACTATTGTTTTCAGCTCAGGAACCTCCTCAGTCGGGTGTGTTTTTTGTTTAGTTAGTGACATCTGTGTATCTTCCTCCCATTAATGTATCCAGCTTCCTTCTGAACCCATGCAGATTTTTAGTATCTGTAACATCCTTTGTCTGGGGTCCCACAGCCCCAGTGACCTGTTGTGCAAAGAACCATTCCTTTTCATTTATTTTGAAACTGGAACCTGATTTGTGATGACAAGAAATGCTGTTTTAATCAGTTAGTGCATTGTTTGTCTTTATGAACAAAAAGTCCAAAATAAAGCAGAATATTTAGAGATGCTTTACCCACATTATTTTTCAATTGAGCAGGGACTATTTTTGCACTAATCCAAGACGAGAAAATGCTCCAGAGTCAAAACTTCTTGTGGGTAGAAACCAATTTTTATTTTAATACAGTTTTATACTCATAATAATGTGAACATAAATAGCCAGCTAAAGGGGTCTTTGAGAGTTCACCCAGTAATATTTGTTGGATAATGTATTGGTTCAGTTCAGTTCACATTTTATGAAATGTTATTAGCTGGACAGGTTTTGCTGTATGTGAGAACATACCTGGGTTTCACAATACTTTTTTTTTAAACGCAGATAACATTTTTACTAGTCTTCCGGTTGCTAAAATTACATATCAGGAGGAATTGGCAGAGTGTTTTCTGAAATGAGCCTGTGGATTTATGACTTGCTTCCCTAAGTGGGAAGAGATCAGGACCTACCTGGAGCTGGGCTGTGATGGAAGGCTGGCTCCTAGGACTTCAGGGGGCCATAGGAGTGTTGTGGGATTTAATATTTCAGCGAGTGTGCAGAAGAGATTACAATTTGGGGATCCTGTGTTGCATTTTACAGAGGTAGTCAGTACTTGTATCGTATGTGAGAAACACCTAGAGATACCATCCTCCTCTAAATGCTTCACTTGCTCTCCCAATAATATCTTGAGTGATAGAGACTGCCAGCTCTTTTTTTTTTTTTGTATTCTTTTCATCCCATTTTTGTTTTGTAGAGGGCCTGCATAGACTTCGCTATAAGTGCCAAGCCACTGACCCGCTACATGCCTCAGAACAAGCAATCTTTTCAGTACAAGATGTGGAAATTTGTGGTGTCCCCTCCCTTTGAGTATTTTATCATGGTCATGATTGCACTCAATACCATTGTTCTAATGATGAAGGTTAGTGAGCTGTTACTGAATCTTTGCAATTTTGGGCTAACGAACGCGGTGTTTGCTGGAGAGGCTTTGTACTCTCCACCTGAGAGCTGGGGGGGATCGGCAGGAGCAATCACCGCTTCTCATCTGCCTGATGTTGTTTTTAGAGGCCTTGTGGGATTCTCTTTGCCCTTTTGACTCCAAAGGGTTTATCAGTTGCGATGAGGTACCGTGAATGGAATTCCCCTGCACGGTGCTGGTTTGGCTCGTAGCCCCTTCAGCGTCTGGCCAGTGGGATGGGAACTGGGCTCTGCGGGTCCTGAGCTCCCAGCTCAACCTGCGCCTCCCGCTGCAGCGCAGGGTCACTTCGTGGGGATGCTCGACATCCAGCCAAAACAGGGAAATTACTCCAATTTGCAGCAGTGTCAAGCTTCTGGGACATGATCCACGGTGCCTAAGAGGAGGACATGCAGACAGCAGGATATCGTGGATGATCTCCCTTCCTATCCCTCGCCTAGCTGGAGAGTATCTTCACAGTCGGGGGCTCACCATATTCTTAGGGTCTGCTGGAACTAAACGTAGTTCTGCACTTGTCCTCTGGTTGTGAAAATGCCCTTCCTCCCTCCTGGTCCATGCTCTGCTTACAGGGAGATATACACCAGCAACAGTCTCCCCATCCTGGTGTATCCCCAGCTACCCCATTAAGATAGCAGGTAGGCCATGGGGTGTTTCCAGAGTGGCATGAGTAACCATATTGTTAACCCCAAGTCTTGCTTAAAGTGAGCACAAAATCTGGCACCAAAATAAGCAAGAGTTGCAGTCAGGCAAGTCAGCTGGGAAGGTTTTTTTCTATAAGTGATCTGCCAGTAACAGCCTTTCTTCCATCCCGGTTTAGTTCTATGATGCTCCAGAAGCATATGAAGAAATGTTGAAATGCCTGAATATTGTGTTTACATCCATGTTTTCAATGGAATGTGTGCTGAAGATCATTGCCTTTGGTGTGCTGGTATGTGCCTTCCTTGTTTACTTTCAACTGTTTCCTCTCTACATGAAATGCTTGAATTTCATGATGCGCATTTAAAAACAAAGAAAAAAAAGCCTGTGTTGCAAAAAAAAAAAAAAATAACCCCTGGATGTTTTCATTTGGCAGAATTATTTCCGAGATGCCTGGAATGTCTTTGATTTTGTAACAGTGTTGGGAAGTATTACTGATATTTTAGTAACAGAGATTGCGGTAAGTACAGTTTGCTCAATTTGCTTCATTTACCAACAAAGCTGTCCCCTGTCAAGACACTGCACCTTCTCCCTACCAGCCTTATTCCCTAGAGCTGCCTCTGGGACTCACCATGTGATGATGTCCTTGGGTGACCCAGCAGCCTGTTTCTGTTAGCTCTGCTCTTTCCGTCGCGATGAGCACGGCTGTCTGCCCCAAAGATTTTCATGAAAAAAGCCGTGATGAGAATGACAATGTTAGTGATTCTGCCAGGAAACCATCTCTCTTCCTCGTTCAGCAAATGACTCTAACCCCGAGCCGTTTTTGCCTATTAATGGAAAAATCCTGTTGAATTTAATAGAGGGAAAGATCAAAAAGGTCCTGTTGAAGACTGCTGTTTTATGGTGTGAGGTGCTTCACAGGGCACACACACACGCCTGTCCCTTGGGGGTCCTGCCCAGTCTTGGTCACGGGGAGGGTGATAAGAGGAGTGAGAAGGGGAGAGGTGATGGGAACATAGAAACAGCCAAAAACTCATCGGCTTGCACAGTCTGGTTTGGGGAAGCATGGTGCATTTCTGGTCTGTGCATAAAAACTCTGTGCGGCAATTACTAAAGCAAACAAACAACTTTACCATAGGATTTGTTGGCCAGCCCTACAATGACTGCTGTCTCCCTGCCAACTAGTCCTGTAGATTACAGGAAGTATACAAACTTGCCATTAAATTCTAGAGGATTTTTCCATAAGGGCAGTAAATGTCTGAATCAAACCTTGACAGCCCGATATTACCCAATTTATAAATTGCTCCTCTTCTCTCCCAATGCATGTTTTAGCTAATGATGCTGTATCTGTATGTGATGAATTTGAATTTTACCATAATTTTTTTTTCTCAGTCCCTGGGATTTGCTTATAGATCTGTTTTGTGTGTGTGCAAAGAACTGTGCTCCCCAGACTTCTTTACAGGACATTCAGCTGGTGGTGAAGACCATATTACTGTTTCTGACAAAACACATTATTACCTAACCTCCTTGGTCCAAAAAAGCACACAAAATCCCAAAGTTTTACTCCCCGCATGAATGGCATTCATTAACAGTTGGTGATTTCTACCTTGTAGACTTTGGATTACCTTTTGCTTTCAATGCACAGCGTGGAGCCAGGGTAAAGTTACTCAGATCAAACACAAGGTCTGACTACCACTTCTCTGAGAGCTCAGGAGATTTACTGCACTCCGGGCAAGTATTAGGTGCTTGCCTCCACTCCCTCTGTCGTGGGACATGCATTCTTGCCATTTAGGCACCCAAACTTTTGCCTTGGTTTGAAAATTTGTGAAAACATTTGCAAGTCAGACACAAACAGAAACTGATGCTTCTCTTCCACCTTCTTCCACCTTCCTTTAACTGGGAGGAAGCAGCACAGCCAACTCGCACGTGGTAAGGGAGCCTCTGGTCTCTCTGAGATTGATATCTTCTCCTTCAAGAAGGTGTCCCCTTTGCAATACCAACACCAGGCCCACATGCTTCTTATTAAAATTTGCCTTTGTAAGATTTATTTTGCAGGCAGAGAGCAGCCATCAGTGTTGCCTGTTCCGTGCTTGGCAGGTAGCAGTCCCTACTTGGTTAACAGGCCATTGCTTTTCCCTCCAGCTCCCACAGGGGTGGTCCAGCCTTGTTGAAGGTGTCTGGCACCTGGGGAATTGGCTACGGACTGTCCAGGTCGGGCTGCGATATGCCGATGAATTTAAGAAAGAGGCACAGCACATCTGGGGCTGTATATGCACATCCCCAGCTTTTTGAGGCAGCAGCTGTCCCCTGGCACTGCTGGCCAGCTATCAAGGGTAGGAGAGTTAGCGTGTAGGCAGAGATTCCCCACCCCTCTCCTGGTCTTTGGGCTGGAGAGTAAACGTGCTCCCACATACCCTTGTGTGAGTTGCCAGGCACTGGTGCAACGACCTCGGGGTGCTGGGAGTGACGGCATCACCCTTCCGCGCTGCAGTAGTTTCTCTGGTTTCCAGTGTCAAAGACAGCAGCAATTTGGGGATGCCTTTGAAGAGTAGTATGAATTACCTCTAAAAAACAGTAAACTCCATTAGAGTTAGGCTCCCAAGCACCTAATACACCTTTCTGTTATCCTCCCAGGTGGTAATGGAGAGGCTTTGGATTTGTGAATAACTAGATCCATTAAGTCAGACTTTAGAGAGGACGTTCTAATGTAGTTCAACAGCTTCTCCTGTCAGTGTGGTCAATATAAAGCTCCTCACAAACATGTCTTTTATATTAAAAGCCGTATGTCCCCCGATACCACTCCAGCCCCTGACCTCTTGGTCCTCTGTCTCAGTCCACAGACTATTTGAGCTCTGCTCTCTCTAAATCTTCCCCCTTCTGCAGCATTTCTGCATAGCCACATCTCCTTTTCACATGCTTTCCACTGCAGACAGAGTGCCCAGAGGTCCACCCTGCCTTCTTGCTAGACTTGTTTTTCAAAATTTCTTTGGTGCAGCTCCTCTCTGCTCCCCCTCCAGCCCACGCCTGGCTGCAGCAGCACGCTCACCCGCACCCAACGCTGCCGTAGGCGCCGGCACACGCTGCCCGGGGCTGCACACATCCACCTCGGCCTCTGGTAGGGACAGTGGGCTGAGAGTTCAAAGGCATTGTGCACAGCTTGCTGAAGAGATGTTAGGAGCTTAGTCTGCTTGAAGGTGACCGTGACACGCAGGTCTCAGAATCACTGCTTAATTATATGAGTGGGAGTTTGCAGTGGTGCCCCGAAGATTATAACGAAATTGTTAATGGCAGCAAATAATGGCACCTTTCAGGATGCCTTTCATGGAGAAGTTCATTCACGTCATCCAGTGGCATGTGGAGGATGTAGTCTTGCACCAGGATCTCCGCTGCCACTACAAGCCTTCCTCCCTTTCCAGTCCTGAGGACAGTCTGTGGCACGTAGGGTGGGAAACAAGCAGAAGGACCCAGCGCTCTGCTCTGGTCCCGTTTTGTTGGCTCCACTGTAGGTTGCAGCACGTGTTATTCTGACCCACAGCCCAGCTGGGGAAACCCAAGGGATCCCAAAGCTGTGGGGGGAAACACCAGGACTGTTGTTACCTGGACAATGGCACAATATATCTATATCCTGGAAGAGTTACACTTTGAACCATTTTAGTAATCTATAACCTGTTATTTTGTTAAACTGGAGTTGCACCTATGTCACTTAAACACTTCTGGTGTTTAGAACTAATTAAAAATTGTAGAAAAAGGGCTGATAAACCTGATGCAGTAATAGTGAGTATGCTGTCTGCAAACAGCAGGGACCAAGGCGAGGAGCAGTGGGTGCCTCATTCGCAGAGCACAAGTCAGGCATATGGCCCCGAGTCTAATCCCGCTGTCCCGCTGCCTCTGCCCAGCCACTCTTGGCCTTTTATATTGCCAGGTAGGGTAGGGTAGTAACTAAGGCTCGGGATGAACATCAGTCTGCACAAAACGCCGTAGTTTTGAGCCGAATTCCAGCTTTCCGGCTGGGTGCGTGAGCGGGGGTGCGGCAGGTCTCTGCACCGTGTTACGGAGCTGCGAATAACCCAAGAGGAGAACAGGTCTGTTCTGGTCGTGACTCAGAGCTGTGTCCCCGGCAGAGGATGGCCTCAGCTCCCGCCTCTCCCGGACCGGTGGGCAGCCGTGGGGACAGTTGGGTGGCAGCCCCCATCAGCCCTTCCCTGTGCATTTGGCCCCGTTGCTCCCCGTTACTCCACGGGAAGGTTTCTCAGGCTGAGAAGCCCGGGTGACAGCCACAGCATCAACACGCCTGTCAGTCTGCATCTGTCCCCGTCACCACCACCCACGAAGCCCTCCAGCTCCTCAGGCAGAGGGCACGCTGTCCGGGTATGACTTGGAGATCAGGCTCACACATAGTTGCAGGAGCACCACTTGACTATATTTTCCAGCTATAAGTGTTCTCCAAGGTAAATAAACCTGCTTACCTGGGCGGTCTCAGCTTGAGAGACTCGGCTTCCACCAGCCTTGCTGCATTGGTACTTTTAACCCACTGAAAAGTAAAGATAAAAGGAAAAGAAATGTGTTGATTAATTGCTTTATTTTAATTTTCTAGTCATGTCATATGTAATTTACTTTGTGAATGCAGTGGAATATATATATTTTTTTTTATTTCCTTAGGCAAAACCACGTATGTCAGTTTTTTACCCTCTCAGTAATTGAGGTAAAATAGGTGGCATTAAGGAGAAGGTGTCCTTGCGGACACGGCCGGCCTCAGGAGGCCAAATGGGTGTATGGCAAACTGACATCTCTTGCTATGCCTGGAAATACAAAAAACATACTGAAAAGTGTTTGTGAATTGTCTCCTAATTTGCATTACAAAATGAAATGCAAATAACTACTGCACTGTCTGTGTTACCTTTAGGATCTCAGAATCTGTTTTGGTTTGAAGCATTTTTTATTTATATAATTATCATAAAATAACACCCCCAAAAGCCCAACAGTTTTTTTCCAGTGAAATTTTCAGAGTTTCCTTTTTTGCTTGTCCTGATTACTCATTTTCTCTTTTGTTTCCTGTTTTGTTCCTTATTTTCCTTATCTACCTGCTGAATCACGCCATCCAATCAACATACAATGCGAAAACCATGTCTCCGTCTGTATGTTGTGCACCTGCTGCTCAAAAAAAAAAAAATTGTAAATAATCTTGCAAATATCCATCCATGAAAACATCACATATAGGACACGGTTGGTTTCATTGAATTTAAACAATTATTTAAATTCTCTGCTTTTATTTTCTCTCGTTTTTCTTTAATTTAATTCGTTTTGATGAGATTTCCGATTGCACTGGTGAAAAAGCCTCACTGCAGCGTGCCTCAAAACTGGCTTCTGTTCTGCATCTTCTTCCCTTTGGCTAATTGGTGACGTGAGGCAAATGCAGTTACCAATAGCCTGTTCGCCGCTGTTTGTTACACCTGACAATGATAAAGGGGAGACTGACACTTGCTTTATTTTGGTGGAACATTGAATGAGAATAGGAGGGAAGGATGCTTCTGGATGACCCGGAGTAGAGAAGATTGGCTGTCTGGGAAATCCTTCATTTTCTAAGTGGTGGTACCAAATTCAGTTCTCAGAAACTGGTTTTATTTTCTTTTATGCTGAGATACATTGAGCTTTCTGCAAAGGGAAACGGTACATTTAAGAGGACTGCCTTACATGTATTTTAAGCCCATGGTTAATGCTGTATTGTGAGGCAAAAAAATTATTGAAGTGATTACAGACTTGCTTCCCTCAAATCAAAAGACAAGTCACAGGAAAGAGTGATTTTTATTCAACTTTGAAAATTCTTTGCGATACCAGCATATAGAAGCATTTTGCCACCACAGTGGACACAGAGTCTCTGGATATAAAAGCAAATATCTCAAGAGAAACGTGTAAGCCATCTTATGAATGGGGCTGAAAAGTACTGTGAACCAGATCCCACTGGGAATTTAGTGCCTGATTCCAAAGATGCCTTTGGAAATACTGGCCTTTGCCTTTTAAAATGATAAATTAAGCAGAAGAGGATGAATAAAGAAAAATACACTCTAAAAAATATACTTATTCTTCCATTCTTAGTCATCTTGGCTATGGTTAATAACAGAAATGATACCTTAAGCTTATCAAAAATACTTGCTTGGCCACCTGACAACAGCTCTTGGATGTGTGATAACATCTGGACTTGCTGTTGCACAGTTGCTGTTAAGAGACAAATCAGAGTGAATCTTCATAACAGACTGCAAATAAGCTCCATGCGTGCTTCATGGAGGGTCACAGGAGGGAGTTTTCTGCTAGGAAGCAACAAAGGAAAAACCAAAAGTGTAGAAGTTAAAAGTTTACCTAGTGCAATCTGAGAAGGGAATGCTATGTGGGGGCTGTGGGGGCTGGAACCGTTACAGATGTGCAGCAGCTGTGAGGATGTCTTTGGAGACTTCACCCTCTGCACCCCTGGCCCAGGCAGCACCACTAAGTGCTCTGGCATCAGCTGCACACATGAGAATATACTGAAAAAAAATCAGCTTATCTCTGGGCAAATTTTGGCCTCGTTGCTGTCCATGTTGCAGGTTAAAGATTTAAATGCTTATCCTGCAGTTTGTTAGGATTGCAGCCTCTATGGTCATATACTCAGGTCCAAGCTCCTTCTATCACCTGGTGTCCAGGGTGTCCCAGTTAGACCTTCAGAGCAATAGTTTGTCTTCAGAGCTGCCTTCTTCTTTCCACTGGTCATGATGGGAGCCTGCAGTGACTACAGCAGAAGCACCAAAGTTGAAAGGTAGTAGGGAATGAGGAGAGATCTAGGCATCACACACATAAAATAATTTTTTCCAGTGTTCCTGGATCAGGATGAAAGGACATTATGTGATACACCTGTAAGGGCAGAGTCCCCAAGGCACTGACAAGTGTGGCAAAAATCTTCAGTCACTTAAAATGAGCAAGTGTTTTCCCCAGCCTTCAGAGGAAGTCAGAATCAAGATTCGGGAACTATTCTTCAGTATTGGCAATATCATGGTTATTTAGATGGGAACACAACCGTCTCCTTGACAGTAGTTTCTTAGCAGAATAAGTTAATTCTTGATGCCAGATGAAAAGAATCTGCCAAATCTTCCTGAGTGGTCCCATTCTTGGCTTGGTCAGATTCTTCTTCCCACAGCTCTTTTCAACTTTGGATGGCCCTTCATTTTGAAAACAGAAATCTGAAGTTGCGGTTCCAGGGGGTTGTTGTGTTCTGCAACTGGTCTGCAGGAGGAAGCAGGGATGAAGAGCTCGACTTCTGCCAAATTTATTGCTTTGTGGCAGCGTAACGTAACTTCCTTCACTAAATCCTGCAGAGCACATCCAGCCATGGCATAAAAAACTCAATATTCCCACTGCAGGTTTAAAAATCCAAAACACTAAATCCACTGAGCTGGTGCTTTGCCACTGGTGTACAGAATGGAGCTCGTGCTGCATCCCTGTGGACAGTGGACACAGCTCCTGTGTTGGGGAGAAAACCACTCTGCTGCTGAAGATGCTGGAGGAACAGATCCAGGCAATGGCTGTACACCCTATTCTGCATGGATTTTCTACTTTCAGTATGAAAAACACCATAGGAAAGGGTAAAAGAGCAGGCTGCCCATGGTGGGACAGCAATCAAGGCCAGTTCCTTAACTGTAATCTATTTTCCCTGTTTCCCTCCTGCTTTGCAGTTTGCTCTAGGGATGCATCTCTCAGCTGAGCTTTGGTCACGCTCCTGTCATGGGAAGCAGTGGCTGTGCCCAGGCCCCCGGGTGCCTTCGGTGCCAGCGCTCCCGCTTTAGAAAAATAGTGACAGGCCAGGGGCAAGTGGTTTTCAAGCATAATTTGCTAGACCTCAAGCAAAATTGTAAAGCTATGGTGCCTTTTGTGAGCACCAGTCAGCCCTTAGCATCTGTGCAACAGAAAAGCAAACAAAAACCTGGAAAGAAAGGCTTTAATAACCCAGGAGGTGATCATATGTGTGTCATGTTATAGAGGTGGCTAACTGGGAGGAGAATTGATGCAAAACACTGTTATACACAAGAAATATCGCAATGTGGAGTTTCCCCTTTGATTGCATGCAATTCTGTTACCTGCTTGGACAGTTGAGGTGTTGAAGGACGGGTTTTCTATGCAGTGTGCTGAGGATTACACATGCGGAGCCCTTCCATCCATCACGAGCGTGTGTAATTTTGCCTCCCTACGAACAGCACAGAGAACAGTCCTTCGAATGCTCTGCGAATGGTGGTGACGGTGGATTTTCCTGGGTTGCGAATGATTCCCCACAGAGCTGAGGCTTTCACTGTGCTTTAGAAAACGTCAGAGCACGAGTCAAACAGAGGGTTTGGGTCTGGGGGGGAAAAAAAAAAAAAATAAAATGTTATGAACTGTTTGTCCCTCCAAATCCCAGGGACTGGGGGGTTATAGACATAACTGCACGGTTTTAAGCCCCCTGTTCCATATTGCATATACACAGACTGTCCTGGGTAAAGCCCACGTAGCACAGGGATAGCCTGTGCTAAGTGTGACCTTGCAGTCTAGACCAAAGCAGATGTTAAGCATTATGTCAGCTGCGATTATGAGATTATAGCAAAGTCTGAGGGAAACAGTGTTCTTGCTGTTGGGCTGCAGTGACGTGGGAAGAGTCAGGGTCGTGCGCAGAGATGGATCCTGCAGCCGCTGCCTGTGCACGTGCTCCTTGCCGGGGGAAGATCGGTCTTGAGCACTGCAATAATTTGTCAGACTTGCAAGCCTGATGCCCAAGTGCCACGAGCGTTACACGTAAGGTCTGATCCAGTTCCCGCTGGCAGGGAGGCTTTTCATGATTAGGCTCAGGGTTAAGCCTTTGCCCTGCCCTGAAGCCTGCTGCAGCGGCTCGGCCGAGGTGTGAGGGGCCACTAAGGGCCAGGCTGGCGATGCCACCCGGTTCCCAGCCGCGGTCCAGCCCTGCCCCCCGGGCCTTATGGGCCCTTACCTGCTAAGGTGAGTTCAGCTGGTGTTTTGTGGAGGGAACGCAAGTGATGCGGAAAAAAAAAAAAAAAACAGAAGCTGATGCTGAGATAAGCGTTGAATATTTAGCACCTGATTTACTGACCTTGAACAACCCAGGGGAATCCTCGCTTGTGTTTTGCCTGCCAGAGCTGATTTCTGTTGCTAACTTGAGTGAGCTCCCTGTTGTCTGCTCTTTCATTGAACATACCTGTGCTTTTCTCTTTTCTCTTTATTTGAGGATTGAGTCTGATAAACGGTCTGTGCCTAACTCTGAGCTGCTTGCGTTTTTAACACGAGAGAAACCGAGTGCATGCCTGAGACTGATTTCTTGAACTCTTTGATGGGATTGGTGGAATGCGATGCTAACGGCCCCAAAACTGAGCTGGCATTTAAATAAATTAATAGATCCAACAAGCCCCCCAAATTCAGCATGAGCTCTGTAGCCAAATGAGCAAGAAACGTGGGTCAGTTCAATATGACTGGGTGTCTTGTGGTAAAACAGTAATACAAGGGAAAGACTATTTTTGCTCATCTTTATCAACAAGAGCTCCTTATGATTATATTTTCCACTCCACTGCTTGATAGTTTAAAGTGGGATGCTTCCTCTCTTTAGCTAATTCAGTCAAATAAGTGGCTGTGAACAGATTCACAAATAAGTGAATTGGAATCAGTACAGAAAGGGGGGATATTTTTCATCTCTTCAAAATAGGAGGGCAAGAGGGATCTGGCTTTTGCATGTTTTGTTTTGGAAAGAACCCTCTCTAGATTAGCTCATTGGGGCAAGAAACCTCTTTTCCCTGAAGGAAATAAAAAAATGGGAGGCAGGGTGGGGAGAATCATACAAAACAAATGGAAATCAGAATCTATCTCCAGCAGTTCTTTGATCCACCTGCGAAGGTACATTTAATAATAATTTTAAAAATCAGCAGGTTCCTAAGGCACCCTCCTGCTGTTGAACGTTCAACCTCCCCAATTGATTTGCTGCCATTGATCCATCTTCCAAACAGTCTTGGTGCCATTTCTCCTTGATGAACCTGTCCAGTCACATGTGATATAAATGTCTAAAACCTCCAGGTTAGAAAACATCCTCATTCTTTCAAGGATGTTTTAATCTTCACTGGACAATGCCTTTCTTTGTTACGGTAGAGGCTATATACGTAGTCCCTTGCAACTGTCTTGGCTTAAGTTCAATTCATTGTAGAAAGCAAGCTGACCAAGACTTCAAAACAACCTCATTCTTTACAAAATGATAATACGGCACCATTACCTCTCCCTGAGACTTTAGGGGGAGAAAATCTGCCTTACCGAAAGAAAACAAGACCTCCATGGACAGCGTGAAAGGGCCTTTTCCTTTTCTGTCATTGACCCAGTAGCAGAGGGGAGGGCTCTTGTGGAGAGGGATTTTCTCATACTTGCTGCATGTGGAGTGATCTGCACTGACGAATGTTTCTTTTGGAAGGTTTTCTGGTGGCCGATTTGCTGCTTAGATCGTGAAGCTGGTAATTTTAATTTCTTTTTTGCGGGCTGTGGTTTCTAATCGCGTTAATTTCTGAAGGACACAAAACCTTTACTTTCCGCAGGACAACTTCATCAACCTCAGCTTCCTGCGGCTCTTCAGGGCAGCGAGACTTATCAAGCTCCTTCGCCAGGGTTACACTATCCGCATCTTGCTCTGGACATTTGTGCAGTCTTTTAAGGTGAGTGTTAGATGAGTGGGAGGCAGAGAAGAGACCTGGGGAGATGGTAATGCTTGGCGCATCTGTAGCATCCTCCATTGAGTGTCAAAGAGCTTCTCCTTGCTAAGGGAATGGCCTCTCTGCACCTCTATAACGCAATTACAGGAATATTAATTCTTCAGAAAAACTAACTTGATTTGCACTGAACATGCCCTGAACACTGCAGGTGCTGAGCATTTTGGAAGATGAGTCTGAAAGGCGGATGGCTACTGATGCAGACTCGCAGCAAGTGTGCAAAGCCCAGGTTGCCCCTGAAACTACCACAAAATCCCTGTGGCAAAAGTCTTGAGACTCGGGTATTTGCATAAGGAAACAGCAGGCTGGCTAATGAGTGCCTTCGTGCCAGCTGTTTGCCTGCAGCAAGTGTAAGGTTAAGTTGCTTTCACCAGGTTTCAGCCTTGGGAGAATCTGATAGAGGCAAAACCAAAACCATTGCATTTTGGTGATATAAACTGTGAAGCTGTGTTTTTATGATGTGGATGATTACAAAAATGGGGTTTTGTTCTAAAGTCAAGACAGTTGCTTTACCTGTTTTCCTTTACCCCTGCCCTTCCCTCCCAGCAAGCCTCAGCACGTCGTGGCGCGGGGGTGGCTGGCCACAGCAGCTGGATATCGCACGACTGAACTAAGCAATGCTCAAACAACTGCCTTACAGCAGATTAGCTGTGCTTAGCTTCGAGTTAGCTGCTTTCTAGATCTAAATAAGAGCCCACATGCGCCAGAGCTGACTGTTTTTAACAGCTCTTAGCTGGTTTGCAGCCTATTTCTACAGGTCGTTGTGTTTTAACTCTGGTTATGGGACATGCATATATTCTGCAGTGCGGAGAGGAGGTCATTTAACCTGAAATCAGGATTTGTAGCACTGATGCTGGGCTCTAGCTCACTAGTATTTATTGACTGTGTAGCTGCAGGGTGCAGACCCCCAGACCCATCACACATGGACCCTCTCCCAGAAAACAGTTGACCTCCCTGGCTCTGCAGAACTGGCGGGACTTTCCGAGAAGCAGAAGTAGAGAGTTGATGTGGGAAAGCAAAGTACGATGAGGTCGGGGAGCGGCCGAAGATGGATCTGTTCCCTAGCTCCCAGCCACCACCAGCAAACTTCCATCTCCCGCTCGCCGGCGGGGTGCCACGCTGCCCGTGCCCCTGGCCCCCATCCTGGGGACCCTACCTCTGGGTCTCGCCGCCACCTGCGCTGAGGTCTGCGGGTGGTAGCCTGTGCCTCGGGTGCTGTCGCGTGCTCAGGGGAGCTTGTCTGCAGGTTGGTGCAGTGTCGGGGTATTTTGCACGGCGCTCTCTGGAAGGCGTTATGGTGGCAACTGGTATTTAATGATGCAGGGTGCGGTGGGATGCAGGGAAACCTATTTCTGTTGCTTTAGCTGCGCTTTCAAGCGCATCATGGTGTCTGAGTCAAAACGATGCAGAGAGGTTATTTTAAGTGATGAAACTGTGGGGAGGAGTGTGTTCTCTCCAAAAATGGAAAAGACTTTTCAAGAAAAGAAAGGCATTTCTCTCCTGCAGCTGGAGAAAGATGCCAGGTGGCTCTGCTCGCACCAGGTTGGGAATGCTGGCCAGCCCCGTGCCAGCTGTGGGACGACTGGGATGGAGAACTGGTTTCAGCAGAGCGTGAACGTGGTTATTGCTCTGCACCAGAGCTGGTCAGGAGGGAATTTTCTATTAGACCTTTAGACTATAGAGGCAAAACGTTTTTGAAGGCTGGAGATGGGAACATAGTGATTGCTTCTTTCTGCAAGCAACTTGGAGAAGAAGTGCAGGCATCCATGGTGTTATCCCATGGCCAGGGGTGGCAGCGAGTGTTGTATTACACTGTATGTCACTTTGGGAGGCACCAGACAGGCAGCTGATGCTCTCACATTCAACTTCTGTGTTATGCTTTCACCCAACCATCAAGCAGCTAATGGAAAGGGACTGTGATCTGGGGGGTCGCAGTGTGTGGGATTTGTTAGGCTCTGTTTTCCTTGAGGGTAGATGGGGGTGGTGGTGCTGCTGCTGCTCTCAGCTTGCAACTCATGAGGAATCCTGCAGCCAGGAGAGGCTCTACCAGAGGCTGAGACGTGGGGTCTGCAGGTAGAAGATGTTCCCACTCAGGAGAGTGTCCTTGGACTGTGTAGTCTTGGCTGGATCTTGCGACAGGGCCTCAGCCAAGGCCCTTTTCGGTATAGCCCCGGCCCTTTCCAGAGTGTGTATGTGGAGTGCTGCCCCTGAAGCAGAGCCAGAACAGCTTCTGGGCTGCACGGGGAGAGGTTTGTCCGTCTTTCCCCCCAGCACTGACCTCTCGGTCCTTGTCCCTTGTGCAAAACTGTCCCACAGAAACCGCATCAAACCTTTGGCCCATGTTTCCTACTGGGCTGCCCATGTGCTGCATAACCTCTCTCCTGCCCTCAGCATCACACAGTCTAGCCCTACGGCAAGACTTCTCATTTTTTCAGCTATTACTAATTAAGAGGCATTAATTACCCATTCATTTAGCCTGAATGGAAAGTAGCTATTACTCTCAGCTTGGGTGACATAATTACGTTGCAGCCTTCACTGATTTCTTGCTAAAACTCAGAATCTTTTTGTCCTCCTGGGATTGCAATCTGTGCCTGTTTCAGCGCAGGATCTTGTTTCTTGGATGTATATTTTTTTCTTGTACTAAATTTACAGCAAGGTCATTAAAAATTAACGATTGTACAATTATGCATAGAAAGTGCCAGTGCCTGCTGGTAGCTCCGGTGCTGGCTGCGGAGCTTCTTATTGTGCTTTCCCTGCTTACTGCTTATCTGCTTTCAAGGATGTGTAGAGAGCCCTTGGAAAGCCCAGACTGTTTTGTGATCGATGAATACCTGGCTCCAGGGGTTTGACTTCTGAAGGCTTCCAGAATTGTTCATTTTCTCTTCCCAGTTCCTTCATCTGAAGGACAAATGCCACAAAATACACTGCTGCCCAGGAATTAAAGGCTACCTCTTGATATATGTATTTGCTGTCGTTAATGCCGCCTTCTCCTTCTCCACAGGCCTTGCCTTACGTGTGTCTCCTCATTGCAATGCTCTTCTTCATCTATGCCATTATTGGCATGCAGGTAAAAATTTTAGCTTTAATATTGGCCGTAAGTAGCCTGGTTCAGGGTGCAAATGGGTTACTACCTCTACAGCAAGTTCAACACCTAATTTAGGATGAGGTGGAAGACTCTTCTTGTCTGGTGTCAAGTAAATTAGAAGTGCAAAAAAAGGCCACTTTTTCTACCCTTATTGCCAGGCCTTGTATTGAACGTGGCCATAGGTGTACAGATATTTCTGGTCATACAAAGGGAGAGCATGGGCAGGCAAACCGGCTGAGGGTGACGACATGTGGCACAGCATCTCTGGAAGCAGTGGTGGGCAGCTGGACACGGCCCTTCCTCTGGGTACGGGCACATCAGTTGGCTGAGATCAGGGAGCAGCTCAGGCACTGCACCTTTCTGAAAATAAATGAGAAAGTTTTCTTGGCCTGAGACGGAGTTGAACTGTGGTGTTGGAAAGGGTCTGTGTGACAGTGAAGCACAGTAACCTTGTTTTTTTCCCCTTTTGATATCCACAACACATTTTTATCTCCCTCTTCAGCACAGAAATTATTCTAGCTTTTGAGATCCCTTAAACCAGGACAAATTATTTTCCTGCCTCTTCTTCCAACTTACTTGATCCTCCTTTATTTGTAACATCCACAAGAGGATGTGTTTGGCCTGAATGGTTTCTGGTTTCTGTGGCAGGTATTTGGAAACATTGCACTAGATGATGAAACCTCCATTAATCGGCACAATAACTTCCGTACCTTTCTCCAGGCCCTGATGCTTCTGTTCAGGTAAGTAGAGTACAAAATACCATATGACTTGCATGTGAACAGTAAATAGCTCTTTGGTTTGGCTTATGCTACTTTAGCTGCTGAGACTTAGGCATCCTCTAAGGAAGGTATTTGGAGTAAAACATCTGTTCCTGCTTCCTCCTCCTTGTCATTAATGGTTGGCCTGGCATATCTCCGAATATGATAGATCTGATTCAACACATCAGCATCTCCACAGAGTGACAGCCAGCACTGAGACACCCCACGTCAACTCAAGCAGAAGCTTAAATATAAGACAGAACTCCCCCAGTTTAATGGATTGATATGCTTCCTGTCATGAAGCTTACTTTTTTTTTTTTTTAAAGTGAGAATTCCTTTAATTCGTCATTTTTGCATTACTAGCAAGTTAACACTTCATACGTCAACACCACCTCTGCTTCTGAGTGAAAGTGTTTCCATCTGGGTTCATTCTGCCTGGGAACAAAGCATTTTCATATGAAAAAAAAAAAAAAAATCAATGAAATGCAGATTTTCCTTTTCAGACCCAGAAAAAATGAAGTGCAAGTCCTGCTCCAAATCGGGGCAGCTGGGGGAAGATTTTACTTCTCTGATGTGTGCCGTGTGGGGTGGAGACACAGTGGTTAATCACTGCTCTGGCCCCACAAGCGCCTGCCAGCCGCGCCGAGGCTCGGTTCTGCGGATTATGGAGCGCTTGTAACTGGATATCTTGCCTGGGATTTGGTTTGCATAGTTTCTGTGAAGCCAGACGGAAATGAAATTAGCCCTTTCTAGCTCAGAATAATCAGTTTCCTCAAACCCCTGAATTTTAATAAAATCGGATAATTATTCAGCCTTGTGTCCAGACCTCTTGGTCCCATTCCAGACCCCGGTGGCCAGCACAGAGGGGGCAGAGGCAGCAGGACCGCGATGGGCGAGCGGGTTTCTGCACAAGGGAACGGGGCACCAGCACTCGGTGCCACCCATGGGGGAATCTGCTGCGAAATTCAGGGTAGCCTGGAGGCGATTTCAGTTTACACTTGAGCATCGGGTTTTCTCAAAGACCAGGAGGATGGCTCGTGAGCTGGCTCTGTGTACAAATGAGCCTGGCTGTGAACAGCCCGGCAACAAGATGGGCTGTTCATGGTGCTGTGGAGGGATGTCCCTAAAAGCACCTCTGAGTGTGGTGCAGCAATTACAGAGGGAAAAATCTGAGGTTATATAGGAAGTCAGAGTAAGCAAACACAGTGACCCTGGCTTCTGATCCATGGATGCACATTGCAGGGGCTGGTTTATTTTGAAGACAGACGATTTGGGACTCCAAATTTTTTCCTTCTGGCTATTTTTCTCCCTATAGTATAAGTTAGAGGGGGAGGAAGGAAATAGTGAAGAAAACCCAGGAGACTGTCATGAGAAAGGGACCCAAGTCACTATGACCAACCAGACCATCCTGGTATTTCTGTATCTGCCTGATAATGGAAACGAGATCCAGGTGGAGAACCCTGTTTTTATTTCCCATCATCTCCACTGGGTTTACAGCCAGCACTAGGACAGAAATGTTAGCTGCTTCAAAAAGGAACAGTCTAAGCTCTGTTTACTTACATTTGCACTTTGTATTGGATGTGTTTAAATTAACCTGTTTTTATTCTCCATAAACCCAATAAAGCTCAGCCTACCTGAGCCTGTTCGATTTCTTTTAGCCCCCTATAATAGAAATGTTCTTTCTCCTTTCCTTTTCACGTCAGCAGGCTGGTAGTTCAAATTCCTAATGTAAATATAGTCTCTCCACCTGGACACAAGGTTCCACCCAATTAATTTAGTTAATTAGGTGCAGTAATACCACAAGGTGGATGCTCCCTGGGTCTGTAATGGGGAGGGGGTTGGATAAGCTCACCCTCTGCCCTTCCCATCTGCAGGAGTGCCACGGGGGAAGCCTGGCACGAGATCATGCTGTCATGCCTGAGCAACAGAGCCTGTGACCCGCTCTCCGGCCTCACCAAAAACGAATGTGGCAGCGATTTTGCCTATTTCTACTTCGTGTCATTCATCTTCCTGTGCTCCTTCCTGGTAAGTTTGTCCCCATCTCTCTCAAAGTGGAGGTGCCGGTGTGGTTCCCCCTTCCAGCCCTTCTCTCCCCGCCCCCTTGCTTCCTCCTCTCCCTAATTAAGATTTATACAACAGTACAAGACAGATTTACTAAAACCCATTTATCATCCTGGTGATAAAATCCTTTTAATACCCAAAGAGATCATTTAGTCATTAGTTTAAAGGGAAGGGTTTTGTCTTTCTTCTCACAGGGGGTTCTAATGTTTGGAATTAAGCATTAATCTGTTTTGTCTTGGTTTGTAACATGGTCCTTTGAAGAAGGGAACTGGGGAGGGCAGGGTGAGAATGGCCAAAATAACATCAGTTCGGAAGTGCTTGCAGCGGGCAGCTGGGAGCATCACACATATTTGATGCCTTGGGTTTTGTTTTGTTTGTCAATTAAATGCAGTGATCGTTTTTCTTCTGCAGTGGTGCCAGGAAAACTTTAGACATGAAAGTGCACAAAGCTGTTGTATTTGATTCATGCCTGTGGCCATCGTACGGGGCTGGGTCTAGGCTTTAATAGGTGCCAGTGTCTTTCTGATCACGTGCATGCAAAAAAACCTCTCTGCTCTTGGGGCTTGTTCGCTTCCTGCACCGCTGGGACAGAGGAATGGAAAACCAGGGACAGGAACCCAATTAAACTTCAAGCAGGAACAGATGAAAGTCACGGTTCCGGAATGTACCAAGAAGCAACGTATCAAACCTACATTCAATTCCATGGGTTTTCTTTAAAATACAAGATTTGATGCTTTGTGCAGCTAATCCCTGCCACCATCAGAAACATTTAGCCAGGAAAAAGAGACACACGTAGCGGTTTGATGCTGGGTTTAGGTAGACCAACTTCAGTGGCCGCTACTGAGATCCTTTGTCTGGCTGCTGTTGCCCCTTTGACATCCCGTGGTTTATTTCTTCTGCGTATATTAAAAAAACGTGGAGCCCTGAAAGCTTATACAAAGTTAACGCTTCGTTTACTGATTCCTTCTGCACTCTGTATTTTAAAGCCAAATTGTTTCCTTGCACAAATCCCTAACCCAACATCAGACATTCTCATTGTTATTTTCAAGTGCATTATTGTTTCTAAAGATTTTTCTTTAAAAAATCCCCAAACATCACCCCCCCTAGACTCACCCTCCTTGGCTCATTTCAGCCATCCCACTTGAAATGTAGTAGCAGAATTAGTCTGGAGCACATCTGTGCAAAATACAGCTTTGCGTGAGTTTTGTCCCTGAGTCAGTGCTCCCGGAAAATCCCGTGAAAACGCACCCTGGGCTCACTGGCAGAGAGGGGGGAGAGCCCTGGTGAGGAGCAAAGGCAGAGAGGGCAGGCTTCAAAAACAGGCAGCGGAAAGCCAAGCAGCTGGACTGCTACGGGACGGGGCTGTAACTCATTTCTTAAAATGCGTTCAGCACTTCATTGTAATGAAACATGTGGTTCCCCACAAGCCATTAAAGCATTACAGAGCCACAGCCTTGCCAGGAGGGCACGCTTTTATGATTTGTTCGATGTTGCACCCTAGACTGCAGGGAAATTGAGTAATGTATTTGATTTTAAATGTTGTTTCTGGCTTTTTGGGGATGTTGAGCTTGACATAATCTTCCTCCTGCAATTTACACTGTTGAAAAATATAAATTGAAATTTAAAAACACACAGGAACTTTAGAAACAGCTGTACGCAAGCAAGGGAAAACTACTGAGACATGGCTGGAGCTGGGAGCAGTGGAAAGGGACTTGGGATCAAGGGGTAAACTCTCAAAAGTTTTGCTGCCTCTTGATGCTCTGGGGGTGCTGTGTTGCGTGCGGGGTACCTGCAGCACATGAGTGAGCCCTGCTGACGTGGTTATGGTGCTTGCAGCCTTTAAGCAGCTTATTGAGAGCTGGTCTGGACATCCCTGTGCAGTACTGCATGGTGCACCGCAACGAGATCCTGGGGCTTGTCTGGGCTGTGCTGCACAGAGACCCTGCGAGCACCCGGGGAGCGGGGTGGCACGAAGTACAGGCTCGGATCCCCACGCCCAGCAGCGCTGTTTGGCCTGCGCGGGGTCTGAGCTGGCAAAGCCCTAACGCTCCGCCGCAGGGGTGGATTCGCGCAGGTTGCTGCAGAGGCAGAAGCCCTGTTTGCAGCTGAGGCACTCGCAGGGCTGGGCTGGGCTCAGCTCTCTGCTCTACAGCTTGGCCTGAAGAAGGCTCTGGGGTGGTGCAAGATACCCCAGTGCCCTAGTGTAGGACACTGATAGAGCGGGGGGCTGGGTTCTGCCCCCAGCTTTCTGTTGGGGTGGGCTCTAAAAATCAGATGGACTAAAGGTCTAGGAAGTCCCTGGTTAGCATTTGGTGGTGATAGCAATTCGTTATGGACTGTGCCTGTCTGTACTGGTGGATCATGTGTCCCAGCAAGAGCTGAGACCCCTTCCTCCTTACACATCACACAGGAATAGGAATTCTTTAAAACTGCACAAACGCCAAACCCCACTGCCCGATTTTCTTTAAACAACCAGCAGACCAGCCAGGGACACCCATATTCGGTTTGATTCTGCTCATCCCCACGTGAGAGCTCGCCGGCTGCTCCGCCGCACTCCCCCTTGCTCAGCGTGGTGGGGCGGAGGGGCCGCGCTCCCGGCAGCAGCTCAGCCTCCCGACAAAAGACACAACGAAGGTAGGAAGGGGCCTTGTGCCAGACAGGTCTTTATCCAGCACAGGAGCATCCGTTCCCGCCTGCCCTCCTGCTCTTCCATTCTGCTGGCTGCAGCTTGATCTTTTCCCACTGAAATCCTCGTGGCTCTTCCGTTGGCTTTAATAAGAGGAGAATCTTTATATGCCAGAAGCGTTTGCCAGGGTCTGTGTTAGACAGCGGCCGTTGGGGACAGGAGCCTTTTGTGTGTCCTGCCCCTCGTCTTTCTGGGGATCTTTGAAGTTTTGAGTTGTTATGAGTCTAAAATAGGACATTCAGACTAAAGAACGGGTTCTCTTCTAGCTGCTCTCGTCTTGATGTGCCTTGCTGTGGAAGAGCTCACATCACCCAGTTGGTGAAGCAGCCGCTGCAGCCCGTGTGCTGGTCTGTGCTGGTGTAGGTGAAGAAGGGGCAAGGGAGAGGTGCTGAGCACCCGGGCCCTGGGGTGCTCAGTCTGCAGGGCATCCCCAGCAATGGGCAAGTGCCCAAACTCCACGGTCAAAAGCCGCTGCAAACCTGCCACGTACTGCAGGGCTGGGAGTGGGTTGCAGTGTGCAGGGGAGGAGGAGGCGGCAGCAGCGTCCCCAGGGACCCAGGGCCAAGTTCGTAGAGTTTATTCCCCGGGGTGCAGCTGCTTCTCCTAGCAACCACACACCCTCCTAAGGGAATCATACCTGCTCCCTTTCCAGCTTCTTTCCTTTTCCTTTTTCTTTTCCTTTTCCCTTTAAGTGCCTTATTGCTTCCTCTCTGCAGATGTTAAACCTGTTTGTGGCTGTGATTATGGACAATTTTGAATACCTGACAAGAGACTCCTCCATCCTTGGGCCCCATCATTTGGACGAGTTTGTTCGTGTCTGGGCTGAATATGACCCAGCTGCCTGGTAGGTACACTGTTACATGCAGAGAAAAGGATATATATTGTGTATAAATATCATACCTATACACACACGAGCAGACTGTTTTAATGTGAGCTCCAGAAGGAAAATGACTACAAAGCTGGAGGCAACGTTGGTGGTGAATGCTCCAATTTCACTTCACTTCACTGTGCACTGGAGGTGAACAAACCTGATGTCATTACAAGGGCATTTCCTTCAAATAGACACGAGATAGACATAAACCAGCAAATCAAGAAAGCAAAACGCATCCTCCTCCCCCCACACACAGAGCCAAAAAATAATAGGGTAAATTCAAATGATCTTGGCTAAAAGGCCAAGTAGAAAAGCTGTTTAGCATTTCCAAAAGGAGTTTTGATTGCCTTTGGTTTCTGCATCCTAATAGGGAGATAAAAATATGCTGAATCTCTTGCCATTGGCAGCACTTTAGGTAACTTGAGAGTCTAGGCCTTGTTATACCTCATTTGTGCAGCATTTCTCTCCTAGTTGAGAACCACCTTAATGGTTTCACAAGTCATCTGCAGAGACCTGAGGCCACAGACAAAAAATACCAAGTTTTCAAGGTGCTATCTCTCCCATAAAGGAGATGATGTACCCCACTGCTTTGCATCTGAGTCAAGTGCTACAGGCCCAGACTTCATCATTTGCTTCCACCCACCTGGGAGGCAGCAAGGAGTGATGTGATGTTTCTCAGTGTAAGGGTGGTTTGTTGAAAACATGCGATTCTTAAACAGACATTTCTCATCAAACCCAGTGTTTTGATCTTGGAAGCCTCCTTCTAATGACATCAAATTGTAGAAGCAAATTTTATTCTTCTAAATAATATTTTAGCTTTTAGACTTGCAGTTGAAACGTAAGACGTGAGAAATAATAATAAGAAAATGCAATACGCCAAACTTTGGAAGCATTTCAGTTCTCAGTGAGCCTCTGATAAAATGTTCCTGATATATGAGTGTGTTAAAGGAGGAAACGGTTTTCTCACAGCCAGACGGCGAGGTGTTTGGTTTTATAGTTTTATCTCTGTTTTTTGTATTCAAAGACACTTGCAGGGAAAGCTGCACACCTGGGCAGCAGAGGAGTGGCACTGTGTTGTGGCAGACTAAGAACCACTGCTGAAGCATTTTAAGGAATTTTTTAAGAATGAGGGAATGGCTTTGACCAGTGATCACTTCTAGAGCAAGACTGACTTTAATATACTGCTTTTCTCTACTGCCCGGAGAAAGTTACTGCACAACAGTTCCGGTGACTGTGCTATTTCTAGATGCTCTGAGATACAGGTCACATTAATTTCCTTTTATGCTGCAGCTGGGGAATTTGCCTGTTGTGAGACTTTTTTATGTAAAGTCCTACTAATTTTGTATCCATTTTCCTCCCCACGAGTTACTCTGCAATGAATCTCCTCTGTAGTTGTAATGAAGCTGGCTCCAGCTCCTCCAATCTTTCCACCCGTTTTTTGTTTCCCTTCAGTAGAGACAGATGCAGAAAGTGTTTGTATAATCAGCATCTCAAACTCCCTGCTAGGATGCAATTAAACTGCTTTAAAATCTCAGTTAAATTGATTTAGGCTAACTTTAAATGTAAACCTATTCCAAAATGACTGCATTTCTCTGAACTGTGTGTGATTTTAACTAGCTCAAATCCATCCATACTATGAGCCTGCACATATACTGCACACATACCAGCAGCTTGTAGTCTCCAAGCAGATTTTCATTACCACATGCTCTGTAACACAAACAAGTCCTTTGTGGGTATTTGGCAGGCAGTAAATAGCTTTTTTTCCTTTTTCAAATCCAGTCCTATCTCTTACCACTAGAAAATCTCAATGAGATTGAAAACCCAGGAGTGCCCATCCTCTCCTTAAAAAATAGTCTGGGCTCTGATTAGCATCCGTGGGAGGAGTAACACACCTGCAAGGGAAAAAGTTACTATCAGTGTGCTTTTTTAATGCTTATATGTTCAGGAACTTTCCATCCATATGAGGCACAAGCATTAAGTTTACAGAAAGATGTGCTTGCTCTATTAGCTCTGAGCACAGAGGCTATATTTTGTGAGTCACTAGGGGCCAAACCTTTTCACTTCTATAGCTGTTAATACAGAATATGTTGTATTCTGAGATCCTAATTCTGGTTTTCTCTAACCTTGTTCCTGTTTTGCTCTGGTGTGAAGCTATTGATGTTGGCAGAGTGACCAGGGGCAGAAGTGCAAATCAAAGGACAGCCAAGACATGATGCTCAGGGCTGGATCCTAAAATATGTGCGTGTTCTGGATTTTCCGTGTGTGAATAGTTCCACTGAAATTACATTTTCGTAAGTGGGACTAATATTTCTGCAATTTAAAAGTAATCTGAAATCTATTCACAATTTAAGGCCAGAACAGATCTTTTGATCATTTGGGCTTAACTTCTGTGAAGCTCTGGACATGATGTTTCACAATAACTATTCATGGACTGAGTTTAATAATTGTCTTTTAAGGTATGGCTCCCAGCAGTACACTCTGCTTTAATCTGAAGACACAGGGCTTTAGAGGACCCATTTTTTATTCAACTGTTTGTTCCACTAGTTGGTCTCATTGAAAAAAATGTTGATCAAACTTTTGTTTTCCATGTCAGCCATTTCCTTTTAGCATTTCAGTTCCCAGTATAGACATGTGTAGGGGAATGGTAAATAATCACCATAACATAATTTGCAAGACTCCCAGGCAGTGTTACCTTATGCTTACATGCTGGTGAGCTGGTTCCTGCTTCCATCTGTCACTAATTCATCACCTCTCTCAAGGTCTCTTCTTTGATTGTCCCAAGGAAAAAGGAATTACAGTGTTTTTCCACCTTCTGTAGCTTGAGAGCCTTGATGAAAGATGCTGCATGGGTAAAAAGTACAAGTATTGTTATACTTTTGATATATAGATAATATTTTAAACATGAGCTTAATGTGTGTGTTTTCATACCTATTTCCAATATCACTTCTGGTTTTGTTACAAAATCCAACTGTCTGTAAAGTTTTCTGGGGAAAAACATTCAAGGGGAAGTAAAAAAAGCGGCTAGTAGGTGTTGTAGATGTGTGTCACTCAGTAGGGGTAAGTATGGGGAAAGAGCTGGAGCCTTGGGCTCTCAGAAGAAGAGAGAGCGAGAGAAATGGGGTACACACAGCAGTTTGGTCTGGGACTGGGATGTAATCAGGAAAGGAGTGAAAGCGCTGAATTTAAGGATGAATTGGGAAAGAAAAGAAAATTTGATTTTTATGAGCTTTTATTTGCTAAATATATGTAAAGTGAGTGCTTTATCTCTCCTATACCCCCCTTCCCAGCACATACCCCTTAGAGATACTGGAAATACTGGTCTTGCCATCCCATTCCCATCAGTTGCTCCCAAGAGCCAAGGGAGATGCTACTGGCAGCACCTTCAGTGGTCAGGAGGAGGTGCAGGTGCTCCCAAAGGAGAGCTTTTTCTTAGCTATCTGAGATAAAGGGATGCTGATGAAAAGAAACAAAACAGATTTAAACAACCTGGGAAATAATCCCTGCTTGTCATAATTTGCTGCCATGACCTTCTGAGGCAACGCGTTTGCTGGTTTTCAAGTCTTCTGTGTACTCTTAGTGTGCCCAGGGAACTGCTCATACATCTTTTCTACATGCTGATTTTAAAAAACCGTTCTAAAATTTTGGTAAAATTCTTGACTCAGTTAAACCAATATACTTTTTATAACCATGATTAGGCCTGCAGCCAAGACTTGCAGAGTTCCATTTGATCTGTTTCTGAATTAATAGTTTTGAGTTGATTGTGAAGGTTTTTAATAGAACTTAATTTTTCACATCCAAAAAAGCTGTAATATTGAAGGAGATATTCCAAAATATTCCAGCCTTCTTCATATAACGTACCAAAATAAACATAGTGAAGCCAAATCATCTTGTTTTTCTTTAGAGGGCATTTTGAAGCTTAGTACAGCTCTTGTACATGATTTGGTTACTTACAAAAGATTAAGAAATTTAATCCTGCTGTTAAATTAGCTGAAAATATTGTTGGGAGTTAATGAGACTGACCATAAAGCTACCTCGAGGTGTCTGATTTCACCTACTGGTAATGAAGGCTGGATTTTTCCAGTGCTGATGGCCAAGACAGCTCTTGAGATGACAATTTCTGGACTTCCAGCAAATTGCTTATTGCCCATGAAGCAGAGTACAACCCTGCTGGGGTTATGTAGGTGGTAACAGTGGAAGGTAAAAGTTCCCAAGCTCTTTTGAACCAGCTAATTTGAATACCAGTAATAATCCATTAAACAGGCTATTTGTGTGCTGCAGGCTCTGGTTTTGTTGGGCTGCTGCAGCATCTGGGCGGTGGGTAGGGGCCATCTGTAGGCAGATGCTCAGGCACAGGGAAGTAAAGCATCAGTGATAAAGGTAACCAAATGCAATGGTTGGAAATCATCACACATGGCACTGAAGGTTTCACAGAAGAAAATCCAACGATATAGATTTTGTTGAGCAGTTGGAAGTTCTCTCTCTCTCTCTCTCTCTGTTAAAGTGCCTCCTTCATTGCAAGCCCAGCTGCTGTCAAACTTTGCTTTTCAGTGTGTTTTGTCCTGCCAACTTCTCCTGTTTGCCTGGGGAAAAACTGATTCCTCTCGTTTTTTGATGTCATAACATCTGATGTTTTCTTTCCAGTTGCCGGATTCATTATAAGGATATGTACAATTTGTTACGTGTAATTGCTCCACCCCTGGGCTTAGGAAAGAAGTGCCCTCATAGGGTGGCATACAAGGTTTGGAACTTCAGAGACTCCCTCCAGCATTTTCAGTTCTGGTTTTGTTTCTTTTTAAACACCCCTCCACCCCCCAAGTGCAAATGCAAACTGTACAGAAAAGAAACCGTAACATAACTAACCCCTTGCCTGAAAAGAAGGAATGATTGACTGACTGCCTCCTTTTCCCTCGATGCATCTCTTCCCTGTCTACTCCCACACCCCAGCTGGCTGGAGACAGGCAGCTTTATGAGACAGTGAACCCCCCAGCTTCCATCCTGCTGGGTCTAGGTGGGAAGTGTTGGGGAAAAGCAGCACAGCATCTGAGCACTTTCTCTCTCTATATACACACCGGAGAAAAATGTCATCCTGAGATTTCTAGGGAGTAGCAAGTCCATTTTGTTTGGGCTTCGTAGCATTGTTGCTCGAGTTGAATGACCAGTGTTTGAACCCTTCCCTTTCCTAACCTGAAAAGACATTGGATCTGGGCACTGGTTAACTGGGTGGCAGAGTGGGATGGTTACCTCGGCTGGGGAGAGGTGAAGGGATGATCTTTTCATTGTGCAACACCAACAGCCAGAGATTGTCTTGGGAGCAAAATGACCTCTCTGAGATCATAAGCTATGATGGACAATCAGTGAAACCTCCTGCCTCATGGCGCAGGAGAAGTATACTGTGCTGGGAGCTGACCTGGGGAATTAAGAACAGATCTTGCCAAGAAATCAGCGCAGTGGACTTCAGTGGGGTCCCTGTTACGGGCAGGGATTTTCTTGCAGTCAGTTCATGGAGAGCAGAAGATGAAGGGGAGAGAAGTGGAAGCAGCTAGCATGGAGCTTGCTTTTTTCTCTTTCACTCCAACCCAGGTGTTTTCCACACCTTATTGGGGACTAAGAGTTAACCAGCATTGCAGACAAGGCATGAGACCCTGTACCTCCAGCCAGGGAGCAGGGGCAGAAGGGAGAAGCCACGGGGAAGCCATTCGCTGTAATTACAATTTTTGTCTCTCAGCAGTCTTTAAATTAGCTCTGGGCTATAAAACCTGAGTGGTATTTTAACTGCATTAGTTACTAAGGACAGGAATAGATGTTTTTGACTTGGTAAATTCTCTCCTCCACCCCCTCCTGCATCAGTGCTTTACATAGGAATTGAGACCCATGTCAGGGCAGCGGGCTGGTGTGTGGGTGCCTGCTTCTGTAGCTGTCCTGCTCGAGAAAGGGGTTTCATATGGGTGCTTAGGTCTTGGTTTCCCTCCTAGTTTAGTGGAGGTGATAATACTATCCTGCTTTTCCAGGGGTTAAACATTACTTAATAACATGTTGCAATATACTTAGGTCTCCTCAGATGACAGGCAGAACAGACTTGAACATAATAAGCAGGCAGCTCACTGGAAAAACAAAATGAGATTGTCATAGTCATGCTCCCAGTTTCAGTAGTCGGGAAAAGGCAAAGCAGAATTCCTTGCTGTTTCTGCATCCTTTGCTTTTGAGAGCAGGATTTTATTTACCACCAACGTGCGCTGAAGGTAGATGCCACTATTAATGGGCTGATCTAAGGGCCTTTTCCCAAATCTCTGCAATTCCCAGTTCCTTCTAATGTGCAGGACAGCCAGCTGCCCTTGGTGGAAACAACCAGTTGACATTGGCTTGATGAAAGAGGAGACCCATCAAATGCAGAGGAGAAACAGGTCCCCTTTCCACCACCCTCCTGCAAATCAAGTGCTGGGCTCTGGTTTTGTCAAACCTGAATTTGGGCTGGAGGAGAAATTCAGGTTTGCTGAGCTTTTGCAGGGTTGGAATCAGAGCAGTCTGTTTGCCCCCTGAGAAAACACACCAGGTTTGGCTTTTTGCTCCTCTCATAGTCCACAGGCTAACCTGAAAACCAAACTCTTCATCCAGTGAAAGAAAGCTCAGTATTTTCCCTAAGCCCAGTCTCTCCCTGTCCCATAACTCTGCCTACCAGCTCTCCCTGGCATGGTGAATACAGCCTCTTGAATGCCCGGTCTGGGGGGTGAGAAGGGGAAGCACCCCTCCACCCCCACAGAGAGCCAGCCAAACCCGAGCCCTCCCCACACCTCTCCCCCCGAGCGGAGACATCAATCATTCCCCACGGGGACCCCCGTGCCGAGGCGCAGCTCCGGCCACGGGACGTCCCTGCAGTGAGGAGGAGACGTTGGGCGTTGAAACACAGCAACGGAAGCGGAGAAACCTTTCTATTTACCCACCTCTTTGTTTTGGTTTTGTTTTCCTGAGAAATCTGATTAACCGGATCTCTGTTTTCTTGTCTGCTTTCCCTTCTCTCTCCTCCGTTTCATTTGCTCCATTGTGTTGCCTTTTTCCCCACCTCCTTCCTTTCCCCCCCCCCTCCCTGGTCTGGTTTGATTTCTGCGTCCTTTTGCTTTTGCCTCCCTCCCTTTGACTCCAAGCGGGCGCATCAGTTACACAGACATGTATGAGATGCTGAGACACATGTCCCCACCTCTAGGCCTTGGAAAGAAATGCCCTGCTCGCATTGCCTATAAGGTAGACCAACCCCCCTAGAAACTCCTGCCAAACCACCAGCTTTTTGTGCTGTGGCTGAAGTGGGTGCCGGTTTTCTGTGGCATTAATGTTGTTCTCCTGGACTTTTCTGGTGCTTTCTCTGCTTTCCAGGCAGACTGGATTTTGGATTGTCTGCTTCTTTTTTTTTTTTTTGTAACCTTTTTTTGGTCTTTGAAACTATGGCACATCAGTTTGTCCTTCTGAATATGTCTCCACTATCTCTATCAGTGTTTCTCTCTCTCCTCTCTCATTCTGCTTCCATTTAGGCTAATCTGGGGAGGGAGGGTACTAATGAGCAAAGTACCCCACCTATATGATCCCCATTTATCTTCCTACAGCTCTTTGACTATCCTTTCTCACTAGTCCTTCAGTAGTATGTTGTTTTTTTCCCCCCCTCTTAATTAGATTGGAGTAATTAGAGTAGGCAGTATTGTAGGAGTTAGCAAGCTATTAAACAGAGGCAACACCAGAAGGGCTCTTTAAATACCCTTGTGAAGGAAATTATTTTAACAGAAAACATTTAAGACAGTAAGATGAAAAAATCACTCAAACTTATTGTTTATTCTGTAAAACTTTTTAATTGAACCACAAAGGTGCATTACATCCAAAAGGCTGCTAGCTGCTGCCTTTCAGACGCTGCCTGGACGAAGGCAGTGGAAGCTCAGATAGATGCAGAGCCGAAATTACGGAGCAGAGCCAGAGCCCACCAGTTAAAGCCACAATGCTCTCTCAGCAGCTCACATGGCACTTGGAAATTTGCATTTGCAGGGGCAATTCCTTGGCAGCTTTTAACACTGAACTTCACAGTTTTGGAGGGACAGGTTTGTCATAAGCATTTAACACTGGTGTAATTGAGCATCCATCAAACTCAACAGGGTTTTTTTGCTGTTGACGTTATTTCAGCCACCACCAAGCCCAGTTACCGCACCCCACCATGCTTGGTGCAATGGATCCAGATCACAACAGCCCCTCCAATAGTGCTTGTTTTTTTCCCTGAGGCTGTACGAAAGCAAGATTTTGTGAAGAGTCTTGAGCTAAGCCCAGACCTGGGCTTGCTTTTATGCAGGGCACTTAACAGCAAGAAGAGGTTCAGATACAGCTTTAGTAAAGATCCTTCCTCAGTGTGTTAGGATTTAAAACTAAAAAAAAACCAAAAAACAAACCAAACCAAAACATAACCTTAAAGCTAGTCAGTTAGGTATCTTTTCTGTATTCCTTTTGATTTGTTTCTGGCCACTTTGGTAGCTGCTTTAAAAAAGCATCTCTGTTACAAGCAATTCATACCCACCATACTGTAACTAAGCTTGAGAAACCCAGCTACGTCAAAATGCCAGCTCCCAGGTCTCAGCTATTTCAGATAGATGGGTAGCTAGATAAACATCTGCGTAGAGGTACCAGTTATACACAGAAACTCAATGATTTTAAAGGAATCAATGTCTCCTTTTAGCACCTGTGAGTTTCTATTGACTTAAAATGGAGCTGTGACCTGCTGGAAGCCCGGCAGTAGGTGTTTGCAGCTGGGGTCTCTGGTCACATGTGTACCAGAAGCATAAAGCCCTTCCTTTTTTTTTTTTTTTTTCCCCCAAAATCTTGTGCAGTTAAAATGGGGAGAAATTAAAAGGGGATAAAAAGATCATGTGTTGAAATAGGCATTTTAAACAAGCCTTTTGGTCGATTTTCATAGTGTGGCATCTCTGTGCCCCTGTGTGATTGTTCTCAGCTGTTGCAGCAGACATTCCCTGGGCAGAGGCACCACAGACATGCCTTCCCTAGTTTGTCTTTTCCATGTGAGTTAGCTGGTATCTCATTTAATTTGTCTGTCTTTATAAAACGCATCCACAGAATTTAGGTACATATGAATGGTTTATTTTTAAAATACAGTCTCCTGATTTTTTTAAAGACACCGTTAATTTTTACCCATCTACTAAGAAACCTCTAAAAGCTGTCTGTGTGTGAGTGAACGATGAATAGAGATGGGTTCAAGTCAAACCGCTCAAATCTAGACTGAACATCAGATTTCTCTGAGTTTGGAAGTGTTCAGATTAATTTTGCACGTTAGCAAAGAGCCCTGAACTACAGAAATACAGATTTAAGACCATATCTGAATTTTTCCCATGGTATAAGGCTGCAGCTTGGGCTGACCCCCCACTCCCAGCTGTGGGTGCTGGTAAAACTAAACCCTCGTAGGGAGGCAGTACCGGTTTTCGCTCCCTCCCTCCCCCCCTCCACTTCTGTGTGCAGCACTAGGAGCACCACATCCGCGGGGACAGATTGGTGCTGAGCACCTTCCCCCAGATAACGGCTGCGTGGGGGTCGCGGCATCCCCCTGCCCGGCACCTCCCGGTGCCCCCACCACCACCCACCCGTGTCTCCCACAGCTGGTGGGAGGCGTGGGGACGACGGTGCAGCTCACCCCGCCACGCACACCTCCGCGCAGAGCCGGCGTGCGGGGAGACAGGGACCCCCTCGTCCTGCAGCCGCAGCTCAGCCAGTGCCGACAGCAGCCAGGGCTTTGTCTCTGCGCTATTTTTGCTCTCTCCCTCTGAACCAAACGAACCTTACTGTTCTGTCAGGCAAAAGCTCTTTTGCCCTACATGTCCACCCTTTTTCTTTCCATATATATTTTTCCCAGTCCTCTCTGCAAAGATTTTGTGTGTTATCCCTCTGTCTTCGTCTGTGTTGCCTTCTCAGCATGTGCACGCTGTCATTTCGTTTGGATTTTTCCCTCTTTGCAGCCTCCTCGGCTGCTGTCCTTCCTTTCTGCTGTTTTCTGGTTTCCCCTTTCTCAACTGTTCTCCGTGGTCGGTGTGACCAGCCTCTGCTGTTCTGCACGCGTGGCTTGCTGCTTGCCTGGAGGTGCATGCATGGGTCCTCCGGCCACACTGCTCGGGCACCAGGAGAGCTCTGTCCCACACAGGGGGGGTGAGAAAAGGGCGAAGGAACTGAATTTTAAAATCTCTTCTGCCCAGTCAGATGAAAAGAGGGAAGAAAAGCACTTTGACTTCACTCTGGTGTCTTGAGATTTGATGGTTTGTCCATTTTCGGATGAGGGTGGTGGGGTTTTTTTCACTGTGTACAGTGGCGTATTGAGACTTTGAGGCATCTCAGACAGATTCAGCTTGTCTGTACTGAAGGGTCTCGGGGTTTTATGTGCTATTCAGTAGTAGCAGTAAGGGCAGAGCGGCAGCCAGCTGTGCTGTCACCTGGAGTCAGCCCATCCTTTGCAGCACAGAGATTTGAAAGCATCTTTAGAGAAAATGGGAGAAGGAAATGCCCATGGCGCTGCTAAATCTCTCTGGCACTATAGTGCTGTCAGGATATCTGCAAGAGCGGGGTTGGAGGTGGGTTTTTTTTGAAAGCCTGAGGGTGTGATTCTTAGGAACAGCCTGGTGCTAAGAGAGGCAATAACCCAAGCCTTTCCCCACTGCTTTTCAGAGTCACCTTTTTACCTCCCTCTCTGGGGACAGAAGACAGCATTGCCAGCAGGCACATCTCCATCTCAGTTTGAGCCTAGCTCTAGGCAAAGCCCTACACGGAGTCTGCTGGGCCCTGCTGGCAGCTGGAGGGGGCTCTTGACTTTATTTTGTGGTTCTGTTGGTGCTGTCAAGCACGGCTTTGCACACCCTATTTCAAGGGTGATTTACTGCAGGGATTAGGAGGGATCTGGCTCTCCCTTTCACACCTCCCAACATGGCCAAGGCTCCTGGATATGCAACGGGGGTTGACCTCAGAGCTGGGCTGGCTCCCCATCCGCACCAGGGCTGCACCTCACCTTGCCTGTCACTGCCACATGGATTTTAAAATCTTAATTAGGTCCCTGAAGGCTGCACAAGTGTTTGAATGGTCCATTTGCTAGCCGCCCAGCCTTGCAACCTCTTCTGCAACAGAGGTGGCATCCTGCATTGCTTTTGCTGGACAAGGAGCAAGATTGCACCTGCTGAAGGTGGGATGACCACTCCGTGCAGCAGGTCCAGCCGTGTGGTAGAGACAGAGCCCACGTTTTGGGCACAGACCAGGCTCCTCTGGTGGCTGTGGGAGGGAGGAAGGCCACGGCCAGCCTCTCTGAAGCCAACAGAAGAGTTAAATGAGAGTGAAATAATTACAACTAGGTCAGGGTGAATTATTCATAGCAAATAATTTATTCACCAAACTCAGCCTCGTTTCCTACAAGCAGTGCTCCATTGTCCTGAAGTTATTCGTGTTTGGGGATTATTCCCAGAGTAGCTCTTGTCCCAGAGGCTGCGCGGGAGCGGCTGATGGGGTGCTCTTAATAATTCAAATCCATCGGGGTGCCAGCTAGTTTTTCCTGGCATTCATAGCTCACTATGCTCTTCTTCTTGCTAATGTTTGGATAAATGTGTTGGTGAATAAAATTCACAGTACAGATATTTCTGTTCAGTGCCGCCTTTCTGGGTCAGGCTGGGAGCTCGCAGGAGACCTTTTGTCCCAGCTTTTGACACCAGGATGAATTTTCCCCCATTTCTCTAACACATTCCCTGCCTATTCAGACATTGTCCAAGAAGTTTCTAAGCAGAAGATCTGCAGAAACCAAGTGCTGAAGGGGAATAAATTCTGTCAGTTCTGCTTGACACAAAGGTTTGGTTTCACATTAGCGGTCCTTTTTTATTTGCAATTAAATCACTACTAGAAGCTGAGGGGTGTCTGCACCCCTCCTGACCATACATGTAATCGGAGCAAAAAGCATTGCCTCCCTAACTCCGGCTGTAATCATTTATTACCTCGTTATCTGCACAGAGTTAATTAGGAGACTCTAGAGACAATATTGCAGCTCCTGCCTCTGGGGCCCTTTCCTGCAGAAACATTAACGAGCTCCCCTCGCCCTCGCTTGGGAGGGGGATGCTTCCGAAACCACCTAATTAAAATCAAGGGCTGGAGGAGGGTTCCCCAAGCGCAGTTGGGAAATAGGAGCGGGGACTCCATCTGCTGCCGGCTGCTTTTCCTCAAACGCTCTTGGAGGAAATTGAAGGTGAAGGGAGTAAGAGGAGCAACACAGGGAGCAGGGAAGCCCTTTCTTGCTAGGTCTGGGCTCCTGGGAGAGATTTTTATCTGCTCCCCGGTTATTAATTTACCTGAACACTCCTCATTTGGGGTGGCAATTCCCAGGGCACCCCAGAGTGATGCAAACTTTGTACTAGTGCGGGGAAGCATCAGATCCCCTGCCATCTGCATCAGCAGGCTCGTATGTTTTCCTTCTGGGGTCTAGGAAGATGGAAAATTACCCAAATCAGATTTTTTTTTTTTTTTAAATCTAATTTTTGCATCACATTCCAAAACACGAGGAACTTGTAGGACAGAGCCTTGAAGCATAACTTCAGCCAGAAGAAACCGCAAAATTGGGGGGAGATGTTAATTTTACTTTAAATTGTGTCTGGGCTAAATAACTGGTGCAGGGTTTTTTTAACCATGTTGTTGCCCACGCTGTATGAAAGACATTGAGATTTCTCTTCTATCCTGGTTAAGGATGACAATCAAAATTTCCTGATTAATTTTTCAAAGAACAATTTTTGAGTCAATCAGATTATTTGACTTTGAGAAATTTTACCAATTTCAATTGGATTCCAGTTCCTTTTAAATGGGTCCTATAGAAACGTAAATGAATTAAAATACAAGTAAAATCAGAAAATAGCTTTGAAAGGATTGAACTTTCTTGCTCGGCACATGTTGGAAAGAAATATTTTACGGTAAGATTGTTCTGTAATACTGGGGGGGGGATTAAGATTTCTTTTTGTTTGCAACTTCAGGCTTTCAGTTGTGTTTCTGTTGCTAGGAAAATGCACCAGCCGATGTGCAGGGAAGTTCGGGTGCTGAGTCCCTCCTCTGTGCCAATACCCAGCTGACTCCCTGGTTCCTCTGAGTGCCAGTGGTGGTGTGGGGACACAGTGTGGACATGCGTCACCAAACTGCCTCCCACATGGTGTGGTGGCAAAGCTATTTTGAATCAAAGATGAATCGATTCCTTCCTCCCAACTGCTTCAACTTTAGCAGGAGCTCTCCCAGACATGTGATAGATCTATTTGAGCAATGTATTTTTTCAATTCACGCTTCCAAGAAAGCAGTTTTCACTGATGATCTGGGGTGGCTTGTAGCTGAAACCTTTGAGCTTGGCCATGGCAGGTTATGAGACACTTCTTTTTTTGGCTAAGAAATGGGCAGCTGCTCTTCCCTGGTGGGTGCAGCTCGCTACCCGCTTTGCAATGCGAGTGCTCCTCAACTGGCTGCCAACACCCTGCCCCAGGGGGAGACGGGGAAATGCATCCTGGTTTGCCACCCCGATAGAGAGGATAGAGGGAGGGAGACATCCCAGCCAAGCCAGAGAAAGCCTCCCCTCTCCCGACTGACTGCTGGAGCCAGCGGTCCCGGCTGAGGGACTGGGAGGAGTGCGGGGACCTGCACAACCACCACGCTCTCTGTTGGCTGATGGTTTATCAGATCAGAAATTGTAGTGACCTAAAGGTGCCTGGGTTGACCTGTTTGGCCAGTTTGCTTATTGGGATGGAAAAAAAAATACACTGCAGATCAGGGAGTGCTGAGGGTAGCATAGGGAGGGAAGAAGGGATGTGGTCTGGGGGGAGGCTCTTCCACGTGGCTGTTTGCAGCACTCCTACTCAGCACTTGCACGTGAGTTTTGCTCAGCCAACCTTCCTGCAAGTGTGCAATTGAAAGTGTGAATTGCCTTGGAAAAATCTCCCTCTAAATCCTTTGTCCCTGATTAAAGTTTAGGAGAAAAGACCTTCCTACAGCATTGCTGCATATAGCTGTGATGTGGCCTGTGTTCTGCATCCATTCCATTTGAGATTTTGTTCTAGAAAGTCAGTTGAGGGACCTGGGACATCTCAGTTCCAAAATGGTTTTTGGCACTAATTTTTGTGAGGATAGAGCTCTCCTGGCAAAACTAATTTCTCATCTGCTTGTTCTTCGCTTCCATACATCTTCTTTCTCTCTCCATCCCTTAACTCTCTCTCCCACTGAACTGGGATTCAGTGGGACTCTGTAAGTGGTAACTGTGGGCTTATGTGGATACAATAATTTTGTTGTAACTTTTTGTGTACTAAGGGCAGAAGTCTGAATTAAAATAATGTTTCATTTGACACAAGTGAACAGAAAAAAATGTTGTGGTGTTGCCAGCATTTGATACTGTCGTTGAGCTATAAAGGGAGGAGAGTCTTGGCTTTGATTTCCCTATCTCTGAGGCTTGTCAGACATGGAGGATAACCTCTGAGCATGCTTTGAAAAAGCTCTTTGAGATTACAATGGTTTGTCTCAGACTTTAGGAGACAGAGTAGGTTGTTACACGAGTCTCTTGTCCCTGCAGCATGCAATGAGATCCGAAGGCGTGTAATAAGATAAATAAGGAGGTCTCGGCTCCTCTGAATGTCAGCTCACTTCAGAAGCAGACGTTTTGCTCTGGACCTGTGCCCTGTGCCCTCCATCAGCACCAGCACACATCACCCCTGGGGGGGACTTTTCTCCTTGCCTGGCAGAAAGTTCCAGGGCTGGAGTCCGTCCTCTCTCAGGGCACCAAAATGCCTAAGGCAGCTCAGTTCATACTTCTGGGAAACTGTGTGTTGAAGATATCTCTAAGCAGGGAGGCTAACCCAGTGATGGAAAGGGGGACCAAGTCTTCATTCACCAGTCTTGGCCTGGTTATGAGTAGACCCCAGGAATGGGAGTCAGGACTCAGAGCAAGTGCTCTGCCCTGCTCTGCTTCTTGCCTTGTCTGAGACTCCAGGCAGGTCCCTGCTCTCAGCTACACCGTGTTTCCCCTCACCAGCAAAAACTGCCAATAAGCAGTGGTGCTTCCACCATGCACCTTCCCCAGCCCAGCAAGGAGGTGAGCAGGGTTGTGTGAGGCACCCCTGAGCCACTGCAGTCGCATCTGAAGGGAGGTTTTCCCCAGCAAAGCTGTTTCTCTGAAAAATAGCCACAGCCCTGGACGTTGCATAGTATTATAGTGTACAGAGCCCAAGTGGGATCTGGCCTCGTCTGATCACCCTCTGCCACAGCAGCTTATGGCCTCGGTGAGTCTGCAGCTCACCACTGACTGCGCTTAAATTTCTTTAGCAGCGTGTCCGGCTGTTGTTAAACAAAGAAAAGGTTTCTGTACAGCGATAGGGATCAGAATAACAGCCTAAGCAGCTTTCAGATGTGGATGAAATTCCTTCCCGATCAAGGGGCCCAGGCCAAGCTAACATTTGGTTTTACAGGCTGCTGCAACGCTCTGCTCAAGCAAATTAACGCCCAGTAACTTCCTCAGGTTGCATGTACCCTCGGAGAACGGAAACACAGAGGCTTGTCTGATATGGCTCTGGCTAAGAAGTTTCTAAAGAGCTTGTGAAAGCTGAGGAGCTGAGAAATCATTAGGTTGCTGAAGGAGAAGAAATCCATCCTTCAAATGCGTTGCTAAGGTTATCAGCAAGGCTTGGAGAGTGCTTCTTTGTCTGCATTTATAGGCTGTGCTGCCAGCGGTGTTAAGGAAGCCACAGCTTTCCAAAGCAATCTCAGGTACTTCACTGCTTACAAGAATGATGAATTTGCCGTATCAGAGGTGATCCTGACTGGTGATGGGGAAGGACCTGCTACCAGGTCTGAAGATCTTGGAAGATACTCATCCTGAGGAACTATTACATGTTTGAATTGAAAGATTAGAGTCCTGCTCTTGTTAATCCAGCCTCTTCCCCTGTGGGTAAGGTCCAGATGGAGCTGTGTAGCTCATTGACTGGAACAGAGAAGACCTTCAGAACTGCTGGGATGCCCACAGGGAAAGGAGGAAGAGACAGAACCCGAGTGTCTCCGATAAAAAGGGTATTGCACACCTTTAGGTATTAGCAGTCAGTCTCAGACTGCCCCAGAGTACTTGAGCCACACCACAGGTCTTACTGGCTTTATTTTCTCATGTGCTTCAGGCTGTGTACAAAATGCATCACCAGGGGACCGCTCCAGAGACTGCACGGTGCCTGTACAAAGCACTCACACACCTCCTGTTGTCATTGCCATCAGGAGCGCCTTCCTCCCGTCCCACTCACTGACAAGGCTGCCGGCACAGCTGGAAAAGGCACAGTCACTTTCTAGATGGAGCTGCAGCCTGGGGTGGTGGATGCAAATCTTCCATCATCGTACTTCATTCAGCAGTGCCAGCTCTCAAGTACTGCTGCTGCTCCTGATGCAGAACCAGAAGATAGGTGAAGGGGCAGGGAAGGATGGTGGAGGTGGCTTCATGGTTTGTATCTCCTGAGCACGCTGCTTTGGCAGGGGGGGTGGGTACCAGCCACATGTCTAGAGTCTGCAGACATACTTGGAGCAGGGGACAAGGCTCTGAAATGGGATGAGAGCATTCCAACTGACTCTCTTTGGAAGAACTCTCTTTGTAGGATTGCAGTACAAATGCTGGCAAATCAACTGTTTAACCACTAAAGTCACTGTTACAGCTCAGACCTGCTCCTGAAAAGGAGTTGATGTCCCTATGGAGAAGATGCATTTTTAGCTCAGTGCACAAAAGGTGACACGCGTTTGAAATCTGGCTATTTCTAAGGGCTCACAGGCGGGGAGGGAAGGGGGGGAGGAATCCTGACCCAAGCTCACAGCCACTGCATTTCTCTCTCCAGCGCCTGGTGCGGATGAACATGCCGATCTCGCCTGAAGATTTAACCGTCCACTTCACATCCACACTGATGGCCTTGATCCGCACTGCCCTAGAAATCAAACTCGCCTCAGGTGAGGGGGTGGTGATGTCTGACATCACGTGTGGGCTCAAACCCCACCTCGTCTGTTGGTTGGGTCTCCTCCCGAAATCACAGAAGTTCTACCCCGGGTGTAAATCCCATTTCCTACTGCTTGCCTGCCATCCACCAGCGCCTGAGGACAAGGGAGCTTTGGGGACAGGCAGCAGAAGGGGGTCCTGAGCATCACACTGCTTTTGGGGTGGCCGCATCCTGACGTCCCTGTCGATGAGGTGTGGAGAGCTTTGGCCAACCCAATTGGGAGCTCTTGGAGGAGAAGCCCTGTGCATGTGCTTGTTACTGTATAACAGAAACGAGAGTTTCCAAACGTCTTTTCTAAACTATTCCAGCATGAGGAAAAAAACAGCCCTTCCTCTCCAGCTGATGTCTGCTGGCAGCGAAGCAGTGACTCCAAGTGCCATGAACCGCATTCTGCCTTGAGATAAAATTTAATTATTTAAGTGTTTAATCAGGCATTTACTCGACTTCCCAATTAAATATTGCAATGTAATAAAATACTCTGGCCTTTTCTCTGGGTCATTACACTATTTAATCAGACTGGCTGGGGTCAGGATCAAGGCATGACCAGCCAAAGCACTTTTATACCTAATTTGAAAGCTAACAGGCAGTAACAATGCTCTTACAATCAATGGGCAGGGCAGGGTTAGGATGTTGTGCTTTTCCTAAGTGGTTTTAGGCCAGCCATTCAACCCCTCTGTATTAATTGCCTCCCTCATATGTTGCTTAAACTTTGATGCTTTGAGTAGGCCCTTCTGGAAGAAAACAAAATTTTGAGGTCACTGGGACCCCCCTAGGAAGTGACAGCGAGTATCAGACACTCATTTCTAAAGATGCATTTAGGACTGCCTGGGATTTTAAGGGCCAGTGCTTTATTTTAGTAATAACCTCTAGATAAGGATGCTGAGAGTTTGTGTTATTTTAGGATTTTATTTACCTGTCAGCAATGGCAGTTCAAATGACCTTTTTCAGTTTAAAAAGGCTCCCCCCTCCCTTTTTTTTGGCCACACATTAGAAGGGAACTGGAGATGAGAGATCATCTGATAGCGGTGGATTCTTTCTAACATTTATATCTGCTTTGGGTTATGAGCTTTTGACCTGTTTTGTTATGTGCTTCGTTTGAATAGGTTTTGTGTGCTACATTTAATTGAGTCTTTAGTGGGACTAACAGGCCCTTAATAAACCGTCCCTAATGAGTTGCCGTGTGGGAGTTCAAACCACCATGTAGCAGAGTACCCAGAGCCTCCTCCCATTACTTTTCCCTCAGAAAAATAATCTCTGTCATTCAGATGAACTACTTAATTGCCTAGTGTGCACTGTATTCATTTGGGAGCTGGCCTGTTGGCCTACATACACTTTAATCACTTTCCACTTGTGTATTGAGACCTCACTTTGGCCATTTGAGTAATGCGGCTGTGTTCAGGTCTTTCTGTTTTACACTGTGATATAGCTGCTGCTTGATACCGCTGATACAGAACAGTGTGCTTGTGTCTCACTGCCAAAAACTTCAGGAAGAGTTGGTGGTGGAGGGGGTTTGTAATCAGTCTTGGCATTGCTCATAGTCCAGCACCTCAGACCAGGACCTTCAGCATCACACCTGGGAGTGCAGCTGCTTTCTGCTGACACTATCCAGCACCCTCCCTCAGAATAAGTCTGAGCTTAAGTTTAAGCCCCAAGTAACAGCAGAGGTTCAGCAGGTTGAAGCGATGGTGGTCGTGCTAAGTTCACACTTGTCACCGAGTCTCTTTGTGACAGGCTTGGTGCTCTCAAGAAGCCAGAGTGAGGGAAAGGCCTTCTTCTTTGCTTGCTGCATAAATAGTGGTGTGTGCTGAAAGGACAAGGATTTTTGCTCTTCTTCATCCGCCTCTTTCTCTCCCCTTCCTTTCTGCAGGGGGTGTTAAACAGCACCAGTGTGATGCTGAGTTGAGAAAGGAGATCTCGCTGGTTTGGCCCAACCTGTCCCAGAAGACTCTGGATTTGCTGGTGCCTCCTCACAAACGTAAGTGGTTCATCAGCAAGCACCCAGCCCAGCCCAGCCACCTAAGAAGCCCGGAGAAGGTCTCTCCCTCCTTGCCTGCTCTGTCCCTGGCCCCATCTAGGTGCACCGTCATCTAGAGGATGCAGCAAAGAACCCGAGAGCCGTTCAGCTTCTGGGTACCCTCCCGCAGGGTTCACAGCCCCCACCTCCGTGCCATGGCCACATAAACAGCACAGACGCTGAGGTCACATCTAGGCATGTATTTCATTATACTACAGCAGATTTCCTGAACTTAGAAAAAAACCAAACACCCAGTGCCAAGAAGGGACCAATGCCCTGTGTGGACCCTTGCAGAAGTTTTTCAGAGCTTTGGCTGCTTCCAGCCTGTGCCTTACAGGACTGGAGAGCAATTTCTACAATTTGAGCTCCAGAAAAACAGAAGAAAATTAATGTTTTCTGAGAACTTACAAACTCAGAAGTGAGGTATTATTTGGGGGCTAGAGGGCTTTGTGTTACTTGATGATGTCCTGGGCAAACATGCTGAGAAAATGGAAAGTTTGCCATTGTCTTGGCCCAGACAAGAGCTCTGGATTTCTGATTAATGAGAAACAGTTCAGAGTAATAAAAACATTGTTAATTAAGAAGAAAGAGGGAGCCGAGGCGGTGCAAATCAGTGGGTAGTGATTGCTTAAGTCTTTTCCTCCCCTCCTCTCTTGATCCCTATGTATCTGCTGCTTTAACTCTTTGCTCTACGGGAAGTGCTCCACTGCCATGCAGGGGAGGGCTGGTCGCACAGCTGTGAGGGTGAAAAAAGACATCTGGAAAAATGAAATAATCTTTAAATGTATATTAGTCAATTATGCCCCGGTTGATTGTAATTCAAAGAAATAGGAGTAAGAGTTCTTTTTTGGTATTAATTTAGCAAATCTTCTGTCAGCAATGTTTACAATGCCACAGAGTTTTCCTGCCTGTTCTTTTTCTACACGGCCTCTGTGAATGTTTGCCACAGAGATCTAGAGACAGGGGCCATCCTCCTCACATGTAAAAGGCAGCAACAAAGATTTGAAGAAGTCTGTTGTAACCTTTTCTTGGTCTTTTCTTTCCCCCACTGTTCTGTGTCTGTTTTGCCTTGTTATTCTAATGTCGCTTCTCCTTTCTCCTCCTTTTTCCCGCCCATTTGTTATTTCTTGTGCTCTTTGACTTATTTCTCTTCTCCTGATCCTTTCCTGTTCCTCACCTGAATGTCCCTGCCGCATTTCACCATCCTCTGACAGCTGATGAGATGACTGTGGGGAAGGTCTACGCAGCACTGATGATATTTGACTTCTACAAGCAGAATAAGAACAGCAGGGAACAAGTTCACCAGCCTCCCGGAGGCCTGTGCCAGGTACTCGGCCAAAAGGTGTCTGTCTCAGTCCTCCTCTTGGGCGGCCTCTTCTCCAGCACTGGGCAGCTCTCACCAGAGTCACCGGCTTGTTTCATCCAGAAAGTCTGGATGCTTCTCCAGACAGGATTTGAAAACGCTGTCACAAAAGTGGAAACCTGTCCTGAAAGTGTGTCTCTCTCAAAAAAAAAAAAAAAAAAAAAAAAAAAAAAAATATTGTTGCAGTTGCCTTTTTCAGTAGGCCTGGAAAGATCTTTTCCAAAAAAGTGTGGAGTGACATTTGGCAGTCTAAGTCCTATTTTCAGAAGTGGCCTAAGGAATGGGAAACTGCAAAAGATTTCCTCAGGACAGCAAAGAATTATTGAAAGCTGGTGATAGTTTGGCTATAAAACGTTTAAGTTACTTCTGAAAATGGGAATTTTTCCAGATTGTTTTGGCTTCAGTAGATTTGAGGATTTTTACAATTTCTTGAAAATATTTCCACGCAACTGGCTCAGGATTGAAACCCCAATGTTTTCCGATGGGACAAATGCCTGTTGATTCCAGGGTGGTCATCCAGCTGGTCCCCAGCATGGCCTGTCTGTCTGTCTGACAGATGGGAGGCTACAGCAAACTCAGTGTCACAATGAGCCACCCGAATTGCCCAGCCCCTTTGGTCACACCAGCATATGAAATCCCTGCTGCGCTCTGGTGACCGGGGGAATACTTTGTTAGAGGGAAAGGAGATTGCAGCACGACTTTGGCTTGTGCAAAGCTGAGGGCAGCAAGTGTCCTTCAGAGCCTCTTACGTCTGTGGGAGGGCTGGGGTGTGCTTTCTGCTGGGCTGATCTCTCGGGGCGACAAAGTGGACTCTTAATTGACTAGAAAAAGCACTGCAGCTCATCCTCTCCGTACACAGCTCTGTGTCTGACAGCCTTTCCTTTGCTTCGCAGCCCGGACCGGTGTCACTCTTCCACCCTCTGAAGGCCACTTTGGAGCAAACCCAGCCCACAGCATTCAACAACGCCAAGGCGTTCCTTCGCCAGAAAAGCTCAGCCTCACTCAACAACGGGGGCGCGTTGTGAGTATCCCGTGGCCTCCTCACCAAAGCTGTAACGCAGAGAAGGGGCACGCTGGGTGTCCGCATCGAGCACCGCTGGCTCGGTTGCTCTGGAGGTGGAGCAGCACAGCTGGTGACACGGAGACCAGCAGCCCCTTCACGCCATGGCTGGGGCAACGTCCCGCTGGTGGCTACCAAAATGCCTCCGTGAGGCTCTGCTTCCCACTGCTGCCTCAGGTGCAGTTATCCATGTGGTTGGGTTCTCCTGAGCTGCGTGTTTTCTTAATGGTCTCCTCTGAATCTTAATTGGGGAGCTTTCTGTTGTGGCTAGTTGTGAGTTTGCTTACAGGAATTTGGAATCATTGCAAAACAACCAAAGAAACCCTGAACCACCAACCACCACTGCAGTGGGTTCTTGGGAGTCAAAACGTCCTTGGGAACAAAGTTGTCTCTCAAGCTCATGGCACTTGCTAACAACAAGTGCTTCTTGAAATTTTCCAGGACAGAATCTGGCTCTTTCTCTTTGGACAAAATAATACCTCCATAGAGAGCTTACCAAACAGTTACAGTAACAGCGATCCCTAATCAATTCTCCATTTCCTGCTCTTCTTCAGGTGACTTTCCTCCAGGTCACAAGCAGTATGGATTTTTAGTGATAGACATTTGAGGTTTAAATACCCCAAATAACTCCAATGGGGAAGTCAGCATCAGACTCAACAGTGAAACCCAGGGCCACCTGTACCACTGTACAACCAGTGAATGTACTTCAGCATGGCCACAGATGTGTTTGACCAATGTCTAACTGGTCTTGCATATGTTTGCCTTAGTTACTGAAAAAAACTGTGATGGCTGGCTTGATTTCCTTGTTGCTCATGGGATCTTCAGGCTATATAGGAAGCGGCCCTGGCAAAACCCAGGGGACCTTATAGTTTCAACAGCAGCTGTTCTTATCCTGCAACTGATTTCACAAGTGAAACCTCAAAGGGTTATCTGTGGGGTTTACCTTCATCGCAGTTAGGTTAGCAAAATCTCTTTAAAAAAAAGTTAATCTTTTTTTCCTCTTTTCCAACCGACAGGCCAGCACCAGAGGGTGGGATCAAAGAGTCCAGTTCTTGGGGGACCCAACGCACCCAGGATGTGTTTTATGAAACCAGGACACCAGCTTTTGAACGAGGCCACTCAGAAGAAATCCCCATTGAACGGGTGAGCAAACGGGGTGGAGATGTGAAGACAGGGTGAGATGCAGTAGATTTTAGAAATGCAGTAGAATTTTAGAAATTTTAGAAAATGTTTAGAAAAAACAGGTGAAGACAGGGTGAAATACAGTAGACAGATCTGTCCCTTGAGACAAGCATTATTCTATCTCTTACAACCCCAAGTTTGCTTGAACATTATGGAGAAAAACTAAATCTGGTAGCTTCTACAGCCTGATATCTGTTACGTGGACATGCTTTTCATAGAATTATGTGTCAGCTGCAATAGGTTATTTAAGGTTATCTCTTCCTACTTGTCTCGTTGTCCCAATCCCATTGTCATCAGTGTACAAACTCAGATGAGGGGTTTCACAGGTCACAACTGGGGCTCATTGCTATGGCTGGTGGGAGAGCTTGGCCCAGTGTTGTCCTTCTTGAAGAGAGCACTGTAGACAGAGTAACCTGGGCACTCCACAGCTTTTAATTTATTCTTTTTCCCATACTAGCATCCCTTCACAATTAAATCAAGCTTAGCAGAAGCCTACTCAGATGATGGCTTCAAAGCTAATGCTCATGTTCTTGCTGCTGAAACCGTTTCTTGTTTCAATCAGGTAGTAGAAATGAGGGAAATCAGCCCTACACTTGCCAACGGAGAGCACCAACCAGGCCTGGAGAGCCAGGGGCGGGCAGCTTCCATGCCACGCCTGGCAGCCGAAACTCAGGTGAGCAAGGGAGACTTTAGTGGTGGTGGGAGACTGAACTCAGTATACTTCTCTCTGCTTGCTGTGTTGTTGGAAGTTGCTTGTGAATATTTGGTTTGAAATATGTTTGCTGAACCTGGAGACAAGTAACCAGCCTTTGTGCTTGGATGGCAGGTATTCATGTGCGGACACCACACTGTCTCCAATTTTATTTATCCCTGGTTGCAGCAAAAATCAGCCCAGAGAAATCCCTCTGTCTGGGTAGCTAACTGATGACTACCTACCCAAGGCTGTCTGTTCTGATTAACTGGGGACAATACTGTTTGCCAGCCTGCATTCCTGGGAGGCATATGTTTCCCATTGCGTGCCATCTATCCAGACAGCCAAGGCGTGCTCTTGTGCCTGAGCAGTAAGGAAAGACAGAGATGTACTGTGATTCCCTTTGGTGAATGTAGTAGGTACACAAAATACCAGGAAGCCTGTGCCTGGAAGGCTGCATTGAGACACTAAGCATCCTCCCTGTTTTTTTTTTTTTTTTTTTTTTCTTTCCATGGTATTTAGCGTGTACTGTATTGTGACTTTGGTCAGTAAAATGTTGTTCAGGATTTCCCTTGTTTAACTTCTTGTAAAGAAATCTCATCACTAGAGTTGACTTTTATAGCAGCTTGTGGACGCTGCTTAGTGTGTAGGATGTCATGGTTTACACGGATCATTTTGGGGCATTTCACATGTTCATTGCTAGCTTGTTGTCCCGGGTGCTCTCCAGCCACCGTCCTGCCTCCCGTGTGTCAGAACATCTTACCACTCATAGTCATGTCTCTCATTCAGAGGGCCTGATTCATACAGCCAGGAGTGAGCATCTGTGGGCTGTTTCCATTGCTTTCCATGGGGAGCGGAACATGAAAGATATGCTGCACCCTGAAACTAACAGCCTGTGTATTGCATACACAGCAATAGCTCCTCCAACAGATAAAATCTTTTTGCTAAGATGCTCAGGCTGGCACAAGCTACGCTTCATCAGCTAGCAAATTTCCCAGCTGACTTCAGAAACTGCAGTCTTTGTATGAGAACTGGGATTCTCTGCGTTATCGGGAACATTACTCAACATGTTTAATAAAAGAAATAGACCCCAAAGCAAACCCATACTCCCTCCCTTCCCCCTTCCCAGAACAAAGTTGTCCTTTATTCTAGACCACAAGTAGCATCTTTCCTTTCAAGGCAGAGCAGTTGGCAGCAGCACTGCCAGCAGCACGAGCCTTTCCCTGGGAAACTCCTCTCCATTGCAGTCAGGTACTTGCAGAAGTGAGTGTCTCTCGCAGAAGCACGGTGCGTGTTGCCCGGGGCACAGCTGCCCCGTGTGAAAGCTCTCTAATCTCGTTATGAATCAGGCCTGTAATATCTGAGCCGACCTAACCTCATTTAATAATACAATGTTTTGGTGGTTGTAGCTTCAGCTGAATAACTGATGTACTTTCTGTGTGTGTCTTCCCCCTCCATGCCCTCCACCCTCCCTCTCACGTGCTGCTTCTGCTCCCCCCAAACTTTGCGTTCTTTATAACTCTTATTTGCAATGCTTTCTGTTTCTGGATGTCTCCCTTTCTGTTTGCTGGTCATTCCTCTGTCTGTTTACGTTCCACTTTTTTTTTTTTTTTTTTAAATAATCTTCCTATGCTTTCAATCTCACCTCCTCCCTCTCTCTTTGCTGTCCTCCTCCCCCATCACCTCCCCTCCCTTGTCGTCATCGTGTCTGCTGCACATCTGCCGTGATGTCTGACAATGGCTGTACTGTGGGGCTGCTTCAAATAATGTCTCTCATCTTGTCCGAATTGTTTGCAGAGGAGCAAAGCACGGTCACCTGGGAGTTACCTAGCAGTATGTAGTTTGCACTAAGTTGTATCCTATTAAATTCATGTTAAGAAGTAATTAACCTTCCTTAACCCTTTACTTTTCTCCCTTCTCATTGGAGTCCAATGTTGCACCGACGCAGTCGCTATCTTGTTCCACTTTGCTGCAGTTCCCTCGATCCACAATTGCACGCCGCACGCTGTAATAGCAGGGATTTTGTTTGTTTGTTTGTTTTGCTTATTTATTTGTTTTTGTATGCCTTGTTGCACAGGACTTTAGGAAGTGAAAACAATCAGTTTGGTAATGAAGAAGCAATTAGTAACTCTCTGAAGGGTTATGGTATAGTCTCCCGAGGCTTGGGGGGAGCCTGTGCATGCCCTGTTAACGTAATGAGAGCATTGCCAGGATTTATGGAAAAGATATTCATTGCTTGGCCACTTCCCACTAGTGTCAGTGGGGACTTCTGTCCCTGGAATAAGCACAGAATCAGGTCCAAAGAGAAATGTTAATTTCTTATCGATTTGGATGGATTTTTGTTGGGAAATTTCTGTTGTCTCCATCCTGGCAGCTCCTATATGAATTTTGGAAATCTGGATAAGTGTTTTTAGTGGGAAGTATTTTCACTTTTCAGTTCTTTGCCCATCAGACCACCCAATTTTTAGATCTCTGCCTTCCTCCATCTTCAGGCTCAACAGTAAGCAAGGAGCACAAACATGAAGCTCTTCAGCACAATTTCTTGAACACACAGCAAGGGCCAGGGGAGGAGACAAACGCAGCACAACATGGTCCTGCTAGTTGAGCTGGTGCGGGGCCCAGGGATGCACCGATGCCGCAGGCTATTCTGTGCTCTTCCTTGTGCCCCTGCCAAACCTGCCAGCTCTAGCACTCCACCTTGCCCCCCAGTGAGAAGCACCAAAATTTGGGTAACTGCCTAGCAAGAGAGAGAGCGGCAAACAAAATTTCAGCCCAGACTGCACCTTTGCATGCAAGATAATCCGCCCATAACAACCCGCTGGAAGGGAGAGCCGTTCTTTCTACTCAAAATAACAACCAGAGAACTGGCTTTGCATTGAGTAAATATCATGGGGCAGCGGAGATCTGAGTTTCAGGATAAGCAAACAAACTAGCGTAGGCAGCAAAAATAATACAGGGCTCTTTGGAAAGGTTACAGCCAACAAAGTAAATGTTCTGCGAGAACTGTCATTGGAGGCACAGACTGGATTGTGAATTCAAACAGGTGTAATTGCTGAGGGACCGGAGGACAACCTGAGCTCCTTCCCTGCCAGGCTGGACCACCCTGCTCCAAGGTCTTTCCTCTGGCACGCAGCTTTGATGCAGTGGCAGACCCTGGGAAGCCTCCAGAGCATGGATGAAGCCCTGTCTCCACCACAGAGGCAGCTGGCAACCAGCAGAGTGAAAGAGAAGGGCACAGGGGAATTGTCCTCATTCTCTGAGGAATCATTTTGTACCTGGTGATTGGGCAGTACGGAAGGGAAAGGCTGGGACAAGAGCTGTCCTGCTTTTTGTCTTCGTTTCTGTGAGCATCTATGTAAGTTTTTGAAGCTAAAGGGAAGGGAGCAGAGTCTGGAGCTGCCACTGGCAGAGGGACAAGGTCAGGCAATGCCTGTGGGAGGCTGTTACTGCGCTCAGTGTCCAGATGTTTGGCCACAAATTATTTTAAAACAGCAATATTAAACACAAGTAGTCATTTCTGGAGATGTCCTGATAGAATTGCAGGACTTACGTGCTATCCTGCTTGGCCCAGCTACAAGGGCTTCAAGGAGTGGTGGTGAGACAAGAGAGGTTTAAAGGTTTGATGGAGTCATCTTCAATTGCAGGGAGGTAAAAGTAATTTCTCAGTGGTTTGGCCTGCACCTTGCCCACTTATTCCTGATTTTCCTCCCTCTCAATGTGACGCCCAGCAACGCTTTCATGCTTTCCTCTTTGGAGTTGCTTTAGGATGACCACATACCCTGAAGCAGCTTTGGGTGAAACTAGTCCTGGAGAATTATCTTTGTGAGATGCTTGGCTACTGTGCTGCCCTATGCCCCTGCTAATCTACTGTTGACTCCTGTGATGCTGTGTTTGGTGTGAAGTGCTGCACATCGCTCTGCACCCATGGTACCTGTGGATTGGCACTCTGCTAAAAGTAAAGCCCATTTCAGCAAATGGAGATCACATTTGCCCCTCAAATTTAGCACTCAATCTACCATTCCACAAGTCCTTCTGCCCATTCCAGTTATATCCAATTAACCATTTTGTTCCTTCCCCTCCTTGCCCCTTTCTCTTACTGTATAACCCTCCCCATGCTGGGAACCGAGCAGCTGAGCGTGGTGCGGCGCCTGCCCTCACCCTGCTCCGTGTCCCTCCGTCTGCCTTGCAGCCCATCCCGGACACGAGCCCCATGAAGCGCTCCGTCTCCACGCTGACCCCGCAGCGCCCTCACCCCATGCACCTCTACGAATACTCCCTGGAGCGCATGCCGCCGGAGCAAGGGCATCACCACCACCACCACCGCTGCCACCGGCGGAAAGAGAAGAAGCAGAAGTCCTTGGACAGGTCCCCCCATCAGCTGGCCGATGGAGAAGCTGGTGAGTGCTTTGCAGGCAAGGGTTTGTCCCTTGTCCTCCTCCCTTCAGGGCGCACAGCAGTCATCGATGTGATTTGGGGTCCCGTCTGCATGGAAGGACCTCCCTGCCCCACACTTGGGAGTTCCTCCCGTGTTGGTGACCCCCAACTAACAACCCTCTTCTTTCAGTGGCCCAGTCTGGTGAGTCTTCTTCCAAGGACAAGAAGCAGGAACGCGGCCGGTCCCAAGAGAGGAAGCAGCACTCTTCCTCCTCCTCTGAAAAGCAGCGCTTCTACTCCTGCGACCGCTACGGCAGCCGGGACCGTTCCCAGCCCAAGTCTGCTGATCGGAGCAGGCCCACCTCACCCAACGGAGGGCCAGAGCAAGGTCCACACAGACAGGTGAGGAGATGCAGGATGGGAAAAGAGCCCTAAGGTCTTCCAGGGATGTATGCACCTTTTCCATGTTTTGCTTAAAACAGTGGAGACAGAATGGGGAAGGAAGGCCAGGCAGTAGGAGATAAAGCCATTGAGGTCTTGCTTGGTGCTTCACATCCAAAACAAGGATGGAAATGTCACTTGATGGCTCTTTAGGAGCCACCTACAGAGTGAGTGACTCAAGGCATCTTGCAGAGACCCCGCTGCCAAGGACACCCTTGCTCATGGTTTCAGCAGAGCAGCCCGGGAGACCTGACAACTGGCAGCTCTCGGTGCTGGCGGAGAAAATATATCCGAGCCAGGGCAGCTGGTAGTGTGACGTGGGACATGGGCAACTGAGCTGAACTGTTCCCCTGCAGCTGCGTTAATCCAGCACCTACTGCTGCCCCTTGCACAAATATTTGGTGGTTGCCGAAGAAGTCCTTGCCATCGCAGTACAAGCCGATGTAATGCCGTCTAAGGACTCCAGACAGCCAGAGCTGTGATTTCAGCAGGGTTTGCTCATATTAGCAGGATTTTCCAACTGCTGTTGCGTGGGCTTCAGAGCTGTCTTGTACTGTGGAACAGGTTAATTTTCTGAGAATTGGGGAAAAAGTCCTTTTTCCCTAGTGTCAAATCAATCTTCAAATGTGCTCTCTGGGGGGGAGGAGAAATCACGGTAAGGGAGAGGAGGAATGTAGGAGAAGGCAGGGCCTGGGTAGAAGGGGAGAGAGCCCAGCCCCGGGCCAGCACGATCCCTGCAGACATCTCCAAGTGATGCACAGCCGCTGTGCTGAGAGGGTGGCTCTGGCCACTCTCCAAAATCTCCCTCAATGTGCAGTGGGCTGACGGTGTGTCACTGCCTGGGTGTCTCGGGAGGGGCTGGGCGACGCTGTCAGCCGTGAGCCCCTGTGCCCACATCGGCTCCTGGGGAGCAGGAGGAAATCCTGCGTTCAGCAGGAGTTAGAGCCCAGGGGAAGGATTTAAATGAAGAGGCTTTGTAGTGTCCCACTAGCTACAAAATGAAGCAGCTTTTTTGTGTCCTTACCCCGTCCCGTGCCTCTCTTTCTCCCTGCGTGGTCCTCAGCAGAGCCCGGGCTGCAGCATCTGAGGCTGCAGCATCCAGGACTGTGTGCGGCCATAGCAAGAGGGAGCTGCAGCCTAACAGGTCGTGCCCAGCCCCAGTTGCTGCAGTCCCCAGCCGGCCTGATTTTTCAGATGAGTTTTTCTTTCCATTTCTTAATTTCTCCCTCTGGTTTGAGAGGTGGGAAGATGGCACTGATTTTTGCCATGATGCCTTTCCTTTCTTGCATGCTCAGTTAACCAGAACTTTAAGTATCACATATGTTTTAATTAGAAAAACTGAAACCCTCCCATGGTTTATAGACACTCAGCATTAGAGCCTCAGCTGCCTTTTATAAACCTGTCACCTCAGTTCCAGCAAAGTCCATATTGTCCCCTATGTCCCATGGGGGTTTAGTAAGGCAGGGAGGAGAAAGCCTCTTGTTTCAGTGTCCCTGTATTTTATCCATTCATGTTGCCTACTTTGAGTGGAGCTTCTAATGCATCCCTGGTTGTTCTGGAAAAAAAAAAAAAAAAAAAAACAGATTAAAAAAATAGCCAAGCCAGCATGTCGCTTCTGTTCCAGTGAGCTGAAGACCCCTTTTCTTAATAAGGTCTCTGCAAGAAGCTGTCAGTCCATTTCTTGGGTTATTTTGACTTGATAAGAAGGTGTTTGTTAACTCTTAAGTATTTTCTTTGTTAGTCTGTCCCTCTCCTTGGGAGATGCAGCTTTTCCCAGGAGCCCTGGCCCAGCACATTCCACCAAGTCCCTGGAGGCCCCTGCGTATACCAAAAAGAGAGCCTGGCTCGAGCTTCACCCTGCCAACAAGGTGGCTCCGTTCCAGCTAGAGCGAAGCCAAAAATCAGGACGGGTTTGGTTCGAAGGTCAGAGCTTTTTTTAATGCAAAAAAAGGAGACAAGAAAACCAAGCCATGAACATTTCGTTTTGGGTCAGCTCACAATGCTTTCTTTGACCCACATAGAAATGTTCTGCATCTTCTGTGAATTATTTCACTGTTTCCTTTTCAACGCAGGTGAATTGTTAAATATAAATTCCATTTCATGATGAATCTGGAAAAAGCGTTTTTTAAAATGAGATGAAACTTCTTGGAATTTCTAAGTGTTTCAGCAGGAAGGAGCTTGTTGGACATTTTGAAAGAAGACCTCACCGTTTTTTTACAATCAAGACCATTTCCTGATTCGCTCCTGGATAAAATAAGTTTGAAAATCTCACAAAAAAAAAAAAAAAACAAAAAAAACCAAAACATTTTCAGACAGCTCAATACTTATCAAAACAATTTAGTTCTGCTTTCTTTTGTAAGTATTGTAATTCTGAGGTGCTCAGCCTCAGGCCCTTGGGAAAAGCTGGGCATCTTCCCCTGGATGTTGGAACATTGTAGGTCACTGGGGGGTGGCCACCATCTCCATCATCTCCCCGGGGAGGTGGCTTGGCCGGGGGGCAGGAGCCTGGGATGGGAATATGTGTCTGTAGCAGAGAGCAAGGCTGAAATGCGGGGAAGCCAGAGAAGGGAGAGGGTGAAAAGGAAAGAAGAGAAAGGCAAAGACTCGGTTTCCAGTCTGTGAAAGACGCGGGTCACTGGTGCAGCAGCGCAAGCAGCAAATGCCGCATCGGTCCCCGATGCTTGCGGAGAGCGGGGCTGCAGCGAGCGGCACCCGCGCTGCTCTGCACCCCCACGGATCCCGGGTGTTGCCTCTTCTGCTGAGGGACGTGGCACGGCTCAGGCTCAAATAGCCTCTGCGTCCCGTGCTGGGCTGCTGGCCGCCAGCGCCGCTGGGCTCGCCCTGAAAACCGCGCTGGAAAACCCGGGCAGGGCAGAACAGGCACTGATTGATAGGCCAGCAAGCAACAACCCGATGTTTTTACAGGAAGGAAAAGCTGCTCTTTAAAAATTAAAGGCCTGGTCTCAAAATATTAAGTCATGAACGGCTGAGGGTTTTTTACAACACGCTCGCAGGGCTATTCATGTCCTGCCCTGGGAGAATGTAAACAGAAATGCCAAAACACGGGCCCGTTCCTCTCACTCATGACATGTTTTTAACTTACTGTAGCTTAGTTCACTCCCACATGTCACTATTAGTAACCCAGGAAGCTGCCAGACTCTTCTACCACTCAAAAGCCAACTCTGTGATATTGAAGGGAGAAAGTGAAGGCATTTTTGTTTAAGGAACTTGTTAGTTAAAGCCCATCCGAAAAGCTTTTTGTTATTGTTTTTTTTCAGAAGGTGGCTATTTAATCAAAATGCTTTTAATCTCCAAAACTACAAAAAAATAGCCCGCCCCCAAATCTTCCTTCCACATAATCCAATTTTGACCACAGAAGCGATCCCCAACATCAGCATTCACAACCATCGGGTGAAGCTCTGCAGAAATCTGCCCCAAAGCAAAGGGTGCTGTTCTGCAAAAATTGTATTTGCAAACAAAAATACCGTAGGTTTTTGAGCTGCTCCCGCCCAGTTCAGGTAAGGCGCATGTCGAGCCCGTGTATGATGTGGATGCCTTCCCTCCGGACAGTGACCCCTTCTGTTGGAGCCGTCTGCCAGTTTGCGTCCTACCGATGCTCTGATCTTTTCTGTTCCTACTTACTGCTCGCAGAACCTTAGTTCTCCAGCTCTTTACATCTCGTGTTGAATGATTTCTCGAGAACCTCCTCCCCCTGACTGTGCTTGTCTAAACTCTTCTCTTTTTTGCTTTTCTTTCCTCTTGTGACTCGTCTCTCCCTTCTGTTGCTTCTCCTTCTGTTTTACACCTGCCTGCCTTTGTGTTTGTCTGGTGTTTCCCTTTTTTATTTTTTGATTTGCTTTGTTCCAATTTTTATGTAGGGCAGTGGTTCAGTTAATGGGAGCCCCTTGCTGTCGACATCTGGTGCTAGTACCCCATGCCGGGGTCGGAGGCAGCTCCCACAGACTCCCCTGACCCCACGTCCCAGCATCACTTACAAGACCGCTAACTCCTCGCCCGTGCACTTCACCAGTTTCCAAACCTGCCTGCCCACTTTCTCCCCGGGACGCCTGAGCCGCGGCTTGTCTGAGCACAACGCGCTGCTGCGCGGGGGCCAGCAGCCGCCCCCCCCGCCCGTGGCCCGCATCGGCTCCGACCCTTACCTGGGCCACCGCGACGAGGCCGACAGCCCCGACCGCGCCGTGCCGGGGGACACGCTCACCTTCGAGGAGGCGGCGGCCACCAACTCGGGACGGTCCTCAAGGACTTCTTACGTCTCCTCCTTGACCTCCCAGTCTCACCAGATCCGCAGGGTGCCCAACGGCTACCACTACACGCTGGGTCTCAACACGGGCCCTGGGACTGGCACCAGAGGACGTAGCTACTACCACGAGGCCGATGAGGACGACTGGTGCTAGCGGCATGGCAAGACCCTTCAAGGTGTGCGCGTTTAAAATCGATGAGTTTTATCATCTGGAAGGCTGTGCGCTCCGACGCATGGGGTGCCCGGGGCCGGAGGGGGCCCACGGGGCAGCCCCCCGCCACGAGGACTGCTCTGCCCCTGGGGCCGGAGACACTCCTGCAGCCTCTCTCCTCTCATTTTTTTTTTTCTTTTCTTTTTTTTTTTCTTTTTTTTTTTTTTTTTTTAAAATTCACTAGACAAATCGAGGAAGAAGGCTCCCTCCTTAGGAGGACGGCAGCGGGGGGAGCGCATCTCTCTTGCCCGCCTCCCTACTGCCTTGTCTAGTTCAAAGACACGCACCCGATGCCAAATCCGCGACGCACGCGAGAAGCCGAGAGAAGAGCAGTCCTCACCTTCGACGGCGGAAAAAGCAGACTGTCGATCCTTTTCGAGATTAGCGCAGTTTTTGTTGGGCTATTTCTTAATTAATTTATTATTATATTTTTTCCCCAGTCAGGGCGGGAGTCGGGGCTTGCAAACGGACACACATGAACAAAGACCACATCCGCGTTTTAATCTCGTTCGCCGCTAAGGAGGAAGAGATCTACCCAAGAAACTGGGAGAGGAGAAACACAGACCAGAACAAAGGACAGTCCACTGGGACTTGATGTTCAGCCACAGGAATCCTTTTCGGCCGAGCCAGTGGCACACCCCGAGCCGACCGAGCGCTCCAGCAGCCGGGACTCTGCTCTGGCACCGCTGCCGTGTGGATCTCTTTTAATTTACTCACCACGTCGGGTCCTTCACACTGACACATGATAAAGCCACAAGAGAGCTACTTTGTAAGGACTGTTTCCTTGCTGCTGAGACTTTTCTTTCTGTCCTTCTCTCCTGTTGACCGCAACACGCCCTCACTGTTTTGTCTTGTTTACAATATAAGCTTGATTTAGCAAAAAATAACTAAAAGAGAAAAAAAATCCAGAAAAAAAAAAAGAGGAAAAAGCGTAGGGGTGAGAAGAAGAAATGTTATTGGTTTTATATCAAGCTATTAGATAGAACTTTAACTTTTCATTGTGTGCATTTTTGTAAATTGTACAGTAAAAAAAAAAAAAAAAAAAAAGAAAAAAAATTACTCTTTATGTAGAGAATTAGTCCAATTGTCATTCCAGGTCCCACCGTTTCTACCGAATGCTCCAGTTGTTCACTACTAAGTGCCTAACCTTTGAAATCTTTCACAGCGACGATGCAACCTCTTGCTTCGATGCATCAGACCCCGGGCGAGCGCGGGGAGGGGCAGGAGGGGAGGGAGGGCAGCGCCGGGAGGAGCCGCTCGTCCCGGAGACCCCGCGGTGCCCCCGAGGCCCCGCGTCGCATCGCCGGCCAGCGCGTTCGAGCACCAGGTTGGAAGCTTACAGTGGGGAAGGCTTTGGGGTTGGTTTGGGTTTTGTTGGCTTTTTTTTTTTTTTTTTTCCTTTTATATACACTTTTATTGGCGGGAGGGGCGTGGTTGCAGCAAACAAAACCGGCCTTTTCTCATTGATTAGTGTTTAGGTCCTGTGGGAGAGGTGCAGGTGGAAAAGTACAGCATCTGCAGAGACGTTCTTGCAGGAGACGCAGCGTCTTTCACGCTGCGGGTCGAGTCGCAGTCGGGCTGCGAGAGCTCTGGCCACGTTCCACGGTGCATAAATTGTGTTGAGGGCAGTTGGAGAGAGTCTTGGTTTTATTGCCTGTTAAGAGAAGGATTTTTTTTTTAAAAAAAAAAAAAAAAAAAAGGAAAAAAAAAAGAAGCAAAACCTCTAACTCTGATTCTCAGGGATGAGATTTCTGTGTTCTTGCAATGATTCTTGCGTTGGACGATTTCTTTCTTTTGTGCACGTGTGGGTTTCTGCCCTTTGAGCCTGGGAAAGGGGCAAGCGCGATGTGCCGGAGGGAGGGAGCGCTGAAGGGAAGCCCTGGGCAGGAGCTTGCGTCCGTGGGTCCGAGGAGCCCTTGTAGGGTTGATTTGGGGCACAGGGCAGCCAGAGGACACGGAGTGCACTGGCAAAAGGTTAAAGGAGGAAGGGTGGGAGGCGCCAGGCAAGCGCATCCCTAGAATTGCCGATAGGAAAGAGGGGAGGATTGGACAGCTTGATTTTTTCAGAGGATCTGCCAAGCCCCAGAACTGTGAAAGTTCTCCAGGCAAAGCGGCCGCTTAGGACGGGTAGAGATCCCGCTGGACCTTGGTGACTTGTTTTGTCGCTGGGGTGGTTGGAGGGTGTCGGTTGCTACCAAAACGCTCGGGAGGTGTCTCGTGCTCTCAGCAGAAGTCTTTCAGCCTCAGGCAGGGAGCAGTCTGCTGCAGGGTGGTTCTTCACGTCTCCTGTAGCTCTTCTGTTGAAGAAATACAACCTGTTTTCGTTTCCTTCTGTGGTTTGTTTTTTTTTTTTTTTTGTTCCGTTACTAAACAATAATGTCTGGCCAATCTCATCCCTGGATTCTGCTAAAGGAGAACTCCTGTCTCTCTCTCTGTCTCTGTGTTTATGTGCACTTTGAATAAAGGAAGTGCGGTAGCCGGAGGTCCGCCATGGGTAACGGCTGTAATTTGCAAACGGAGGGCTATGCAACAAGATGACACGTTCGGAAACACATCCAAACCACCAACAGTCAGAAAGACCTTCATCCATTCTGTAGCTTTACCTGCTGGATTCTCCTGTTTCAGGCTTCAGCATGATTGTGACCAAATGTTTTATACATTTTCCTTATATGAAGGCACAAACACTTTATTTGGAATTTTAAAGAAAACGTTACTATTTTACTCCAGGAAGTAAAGGAGTGGGGAAACACAATCTCTCTGACAGTGCATGCAAACATTGTACCCACACTGGAAAGCGAAAGAGATGTTTTTCTGTACTGAATAATTTTGTCTTTTTCTCCACTCCGCCTTTCCCCTTCCTCTACCATTTTAGATCCTCAAACCCACAGCCCCGCACTAACACACCATCTGGAAGCGCACAGCCAAGCGATGGCCTTGGGTCACCCCAATTCTTAGGCAGAACACGAAGAAGAATCTCAAGTTGCCTAATCCTCCACCCGCCTCGTAGGGGTCGATGACAGTGACAGACAAGCCTGACCACAATTGTTCATAACCCTTTTCCTACCTTTTTTTTACAGCCTCTCTGCTGTCTCTTCAATGCATACATGATATTTCCAAGAATCCTCATAGTGAGTTGCCAAACTTGAATTGCACCAATCAGTTTTCTGCATCCAGAACCAGTCTCGTAGTGGCTGTACTTTGAATAAGTAATGTTTGCATGTAAAATATATACATATATACATATATATAAAAAGTATGTGCATGGAAAATGTTTATCTTCGTACTTTTTTGATACAATGTATTCATCAGTTGTTAATTTTTAATTATATTTGATATAAATTGGGGGTTTGTTGCAAAACTTTATATTTAAAAAAACAGTGTTAAAAATTATAAAAGTTCCAACCATGCAACACAAGCGGAACTTTACCCAAAAAAAAAAAAAAGGTGGGGGGGAAGCAAAAAGGAAAAAAAAAAGGTTCTGTGACTGCCTAGTTTGCTGCCTGAGTAATATTTATCAGCCAAACTTTGAATTCTGCAGTTGTTTCTACAATTACATTTTGTATGAAGCAAAGTCCTTGAATTAAAATAAAAACTTAGCAAAAAACCTTACAAATTCAAAGATGGTGTGTGCAGTGTGCCTGGTGACCGGGAGACCGCCCGCCTGAGCGCAGCCCCCCAGCCGGCGGGCTGCCCAGGAGGGGCCCACGGGAGGCGGCTTGGCTTCCCCGCCACGCGGGGCCGTGGCCCCCCCAGAGCCGGCGTGGAACCCGCTTTAGTTTAGCCCAAATTGGGATGCCCCACGAAATTGGCTGCATCTGTGTTTGTTTCCATACAGGCTTCACAGATGCTCGGTCTGAGTAGGGAGCTGTTTGCAAATTCGCCTTTGCAGCGTGGATCCAGTATGGAGATTACAGTTCCTGGAGTCTAACAGGCAGCAAAAATGCATAATTTAAGCTGAGGGTTACAAAAAGCCCCAGCAGTGATTGATTCCTTTGAGGTTTTTAACAGAGCGATGTTTCTCTTGTTGATGTGCAAAAATGTTGGGCGCGTGGCTCCCTTCAGAATTAACCCTTATTAAACCGTACACCCACTCGCAGCACATGTCCTTGGTGCTGCCTCGGGTGGGCCCGGGCGTGGAAATCGGTAGCACTTGGGGTTGGATTGGTGTCGGGAGTCTGCCACGTGGCCAGGGCGTGCTGTAGCACCTGTAAAAAAAAAAAAAAAAAAAAAAAAAACAAACCCACAAACATTATAATACTTGCTGAGCGCACTTTGAAGTTCCGACTCCCAAGGCTTGCACTGAACAGAAGAAAAACCCAAGGGCTGTTGGTACATGAGGAAGGAACTTTCAGTTTCTTTGGATAACTGGAGAACCGCCCTCATTCCCTACCAGGGGGAAAAATCCACTGCGTGCATCTCCTTCCTCGGGGCGTGTTGTTGTGACACTTCTGACTACATCAAGGACTCTCCAAAAAATTGAGAAAAATTAGTAGCAGCTGGAAAGCACTGCTGAAGGGCAGACCATCGCAGTTTTGCATTTTTCGGTACTGTTCAGAGCACAAGGTCTATTTTGGTATTCAACTCTTCTTCTTCTCTCCTGTTGCATCTTTTCTGTGAGGAGACCACCCAAGGTCCCACCTGAGGTTCAGGTGTTGTGTGAAATGCTGTGCATGCAAGGAAAAGGTCTTTTCCCTCCTGATCACCAGTACAGGTTGTAGCATGTGAAGAAAATGGTTTTGCTTGAGGTCACACAGCGAATTATTAGCGAAATTTGGAGCAGAATAACTTCTCTCGGCTTGCGGTCTGTGCAGGGTTTGGGTTTCTTGGGTGGGACAACAGCGGAGCACAGGGGAGAAGAGTAGGATTTTTAATAGATTTTTAAGATAACTGAAACAAACAGGATGAAGGGAGGTTTCTGAATATGTCTGAGCAGTGTACAAGGGAAGGTTTGAAAAACAGCACAAGATGTGGAAATCAGTGTGCATCCCGCCCTCAGCCGAAACCCCCGTGGCATTGGCTCCACCGCAACTGTCTGGGGAGCTGGAACCTGCCTGGAGGAGCAGATGAGCAACCTCTCCCCTCCAGATGTGTGTCACAGAGCAGCTCCAAAACCAGCTCACAGTCCCATATGTGTTTTCAAATCCTAAAGGCTGGGGGGGGGGGGGGAGGGGCTTTCTGCCCTTTTTTTTTTTTTTTTTTCCCCCCTTTCTTTCTCCTTATTTTTGTTGCATTCTTTTGGTCCATGAGGCCGAGGCAGCAATGCACCCAACAGCTTCTCCAGGGACTGAGTCCTGGGGTAAAGGAGCTGGGGCAGGAGGGATCCCCACCACCAGACTCGAAGCACCTCCCGTGTCCGAGACACAGGAGCAGAAACACCCGGTTTTGCTTTGCTTTTGAGTTCAGCCGAGCGCCACAAAATGGCTCTATTTTTGTTCTTCACCCCCAGCACCACCTGGTTCTCCTGACCGGTGTGACACTGTTTGTGCAAAGCTGCTGTGAGCGGGTTTCCGTGAGGTCTCTTCCCCGCAGGGGCACATCTTGCTAGCCGAGACCGCTACATCCCTGCTCCCTGCGCGGTCCCCCCCAGCCCTATGGATCCAACCTGGCCTTTGGATCAGGAATTCTGAGGACAGCACCCCCACGCCTCGTTTTGCCATTAGGGGGTAGCATTTTCAGGCTTTTTCTACTTTCTAGGGAAACAAAAAAACGGGAAAAGGCTGATTCACCTCCCCTTGACGCTCTTTGAGGGTCATTCCCCGAAATACTTTTCTTAGGATGCAGAAAACTTGGGGTGAGACACTGCATACACCTGAGCCCAAGCCGTGTGGGTAATTTGGGCTTTGGTACTCCCTGGAGCATGAAAACCCATGAAATCTGGCTGATTCCCCGTTCCAACCCCATTTGCAGACAGTGCTCACAGACTCCTGCGTGCCCTCCAAGGTGATGAATTACTGGTCCCAGTGAAATTCATCCCTCTTGATCAGCCCTAAGCAGATCTGATATTTTCAGGACTGTGGAAAGTGCCGTTTTCAGAAAGTGCCTGATCATAATGACGAGCCTCAACTCGACCCTGTCCCTCAGCACATTCCAAAATATTTTGCAAAAGAGGCTGGGTTTGCATCTTCATTTGATAAAAAAAGGAAACTGAGACACCTCAAGGGGACTAAATTGCCCAGGGTCACCCAGCAAGCGAGTGCAGAAGTGAGGACGAGGTCTCCTGAGCTCCTGCAGGTCATTCTGCCTCCTTCATGTCTTGGCGTTTTAAATCACTGATGTGTGTGTGACTTTTTTTTGCATCCACAGGCTCCCAGTAGGGTAGCAGTGAGGTGACACTGGGAATTTGGCATGTCACGCCTTGGTTCATTGGAGAGAATTCAAAGAAAATAGCAATAACAAAAATGATGAAAGGTCGGGGACTGATTTATGGCAATAGGTTTGAGGAGCTCTGCCCAGTGATGGAGAAGGGTGGCTCTGATAAGGCTGTGCAAATATTTGTGGGGGTGAAGTCCTGAGATGGGTGAGTCAGCATGAAGGAGCTGCTGAGGCTGTTTCAGAAGTGAGTTCTGAGCAAACCGGCTCCTGAGCAAACTGATGGAAACACCAGAATAGAGCCCCTCCGCCTGTGGAGGAAGCCTGGGACATGCTGGTGGAGCAGAGATGTGTTAATTCAAAGAAAACAGTACCAATAACCGTAGTTTGTTCATTTTATCCTCATCTCCACTTTCTGTCATTGCTCTGAAACAGAATATCCCAGAACTGGCTTTGTCTGTGTCCGTTTTTATTATTTCTCTGTTTCTGGCAGCCTTTCCTCTGCCCAGCATGGCACAAACAGAGGAGATGGCACGGTCCTTGTCCAGCTACTCCTGCACTGAAGTCTGAAACCCCATTTTCTTGCAGGAGGCTGAGGAGGGGAGTGGATGTGGTTGTGCTACTGGATTCAGCACAATGACAGTGTGTTTAAAACGATGATGCTGAGCTGAGCCGACGGGACTGTAGCAGAATAAATGCATGCCTTTTACGAGGCTTTTTTTTCTCCTCCTCATGGAGTGGAGAGCTTTTAAAAGGCCTGGTTCTGCAAGTGATCCACCTAAAAAAACTCCTGCAGTGGGATGGTGGTATGTGAAAGGGGCGGAGGGCAGAGGCTCTGCACTGGGAGGCGGCTGCGTGTCCCACGGCAAAGCCCGGCTGCAGGACAGAGCCCGGAGATGCGACGGGAGGTGTGCTGCTGGGACAGAAGGTCACGGCCGTGGAAATCAAGGGGATTCAGCAAGACCTGGGAAAGGGAAGAGAAGCCTGTGTCACATGTTCTTGACAAATAAAGTCCTCCACACGGCAAAGTAAACGACTCCTTGTGTGTCTCCGACCTTCATTTCCTTGGCGAGCTGTCGGTGCGTGGCCGGGGAAGGGCCAGGCCGTGGGCAGAGAGAGCGCAGCACACGGTGCACCCAGCTGGGCTCACCTCTCCCCATGATCAAGCCAAAGTGACAGCTTGGTGACACCACCGGGCCCCTGAGCACCTCCTGCGCCCTGGCAGGGCCATCCACCCGTGGGCAGGCAGGTCTGGCTGCCCCTCGCCAGAGGGTCCCATATTTTTGGGGGGGTCTTTGGGCGATTGCAGCAGAGAAAATACTGGTGCAGACTAGGAATGAGCCTGCCTCCTCCGTGGGCCAGAGCCAAAACCCCCCAAAAGGCTTCTGTGAGCGCCGGGGGGGTTTGTCACACCGGGCAGAACAGTCCTGGGGAGCGGTGTGGCCGTGGTGGTGGGGTCTGTGCCACTGGTGCCACTGGAGAGCAGAGCGTGTGTCACTGGGCAGGGTCTGCCGTGGGGCAGCACTCGTGCAGGGCGCTGTGCGGGTCTGGCTGGCTGGGAAACTCGGTTTTGGGGTATCTGGCTGCAAATAGCTTCCACTGGGAGGGGGGGGTGCTCAGGAGGAGCCTGCAGTGGTGTGAGGGCTGGGCTGGACCTGGGTGAGGTGAGATTTAACCCGTGTAATGCCAAGAAGGGGGTGAACTGACCCAGACCCTGGGGAAGGAGAGCGGGGGTTAAACCCAGATGATACAGCTCTCACAGGAGAATTGGGGGTCCCTCACTCACCCCAAAACACCGCAGCGGGAGGCTGCTCTGTTCCCATCACCCTGTGGGAGCAGGGTGAGGCCCCTCCCCGGGGGGGAGGCAGCAGGCTGAGGTACAGCTCTGGGGGCTAAGCACCCCAAAAAACACTTGCAGCAACTTTTATTGGGGGGGGGGGGGGGGGGGGAGTGGTGTGTCTCCTTTACCTCTGGAGGCCAAAGCAGCACATGGTGGGGGGTCATTAACCCCTGCAGCACCCGGGGGAGGTACAAGCATGGCTGTGTCTGTGCGGTGCCCCGTGCAGCTCTGCCCCCGGGGGGTGGGGGATCCCACGCCCCCCTCCCCCCCCCCCCAGGCCTTGCATCACCGGGTGGGGGCGTTGGAAGAGCGTCTGATTTGGGGGTGGGGGGCATTAACCCCTGCAACACCGGGCCTGCAGGAGTATGTTAACCCTTGAAAAGGCGCCTGTGGGGAAGGGGGGGTGGAAGGAAGGGGGTGTCCCCCACCTCCCCCCCCCCCCCCCCCCCGCAGGA